ATTCCTAAAGATATACTTTTAATCTATTTAGTGTCCCCTCTGCTGTGAGAGGGCTTGAAGGCTGCAATTTACCTTTCAGCCTTCTTTAGTATCCATGGTAAAGCTCTCCTTCCTTGGCTGAAATCATCCATGTTGATGAATTCAGCCAATCCAAAGCTTTCGTATAGGGAAGAATTGTGAGGATAGTGCACATGCAGAGCAAAACGTTGTGCTTTGCCATCAGTGAATCAGCCAATAGAGGCAATAAACCCTGTAACGTAAACATTGCCGTTGTGCAGAACAACGTTTTACACTGCAGGTTTTAAAACTAGGCAGACATGGCACCCAAACCACTTAAATGAGACAAAGTAGTCTTGGTGCCTACAGAGTCCATTTAACTGCTGGTAAAATATTTCCATGGGCATCCGCAGGAATTTTTCCATGGGCCGGCATCCATGCTCGGACCCTTTTTGCAGGGCCGGAAGGGGGATACAAAGCAGCCTTGGAAAAAAATGTATGCCACCCCCTATAAGTTATTGTGCCATGTAGTGTGTGTGTATGTATATATATATATATATATATATATTTATGTATGTATAATATATATATATATATATATATATATATATATATATAATTGGTGTGTTTATTTTTTTAATTCAGTTTTGGTTCTGTCAGTGTAAAAAAATTTAATTATACAGTAAGCATATTAACATGCAGACACAGACAATCTCCCTGACACAAGCACACACGTTCATTGATACACATGCTCACAGACAGACAATCTCATTGATACACATTAAGTAATTGACATAAAAACACAAGCTCGCTAATACACACAAATAGGCTCACTGACAGACAATCTCACTGACAGACACATATAAGCTTACTGGCACACACACATAAACATAGTACAAACTCTGACAGTCACAAAAGGTTACTGCAGACAAATTCATTGGTATAAAAACTCAAACTCACTACAGACAAGCTCACTGACACACACATGCTCCTTACAGACAAGCTCACTGACACACACAAGCTCACTGACACACAAACATGTTCGCTACAGAAAATCTCAATGACACACACACCTGCTTACTACAGACAAGCTCACTGACACACATGCTCACTACAGATGAGCTCATTATAGAAAAGCTCACTGACACACACACGATCGCTACAAACTCACTGACACACAAATGCTCACTACAGAAAAACTTACCGACATACAAGCTCACTTACAGACAAGCTCACCGACACTTGTACACAAGCTCACTACAGACACGCTCACTGACACACACATGCTTACTACAGAAAAGCTTACTGACACAGATGCTCACTACAGACAAATTCACCAACACACATAAGCTCACTACAGACAAGCTCACTGACACACATAAGCTCACTGACAGACACACATGCTCACTACAGACAAGCTCACTGACACACAAATGCTCACTACAAACTCACTGACACACACATGCTCACTACAAAAAAAGCTCACTGGCACACATGCTCACTATAGACAAACTCACTGACACACACACATGCTCACTACAGGCAAGCTCACTGACAAACACATGCTCACTACAGAAAAGCTCACAACACACACAAGTTCACAGTCAAGCTCACTGACACATGTGACACATATACACATGCTCACTACAGACATGCTCACTGACACACACAGACTCACTATAGAAAGGCTAGCTGACACACACAAGCTTGCTTACACATAAGCTCACTGACAGACACGCAGAAAAGTTCACTGACACACATACACATTCTTACTACAGATAAACTCACTGACACACTTATGCTCACTACAGACAAGCTCACCGACACACACACATACACACATGCTTGCTAACAGACAAGCTCACTGACACACACATGCTCACTACAGACAAGCTCACCGACACACACATGCTCACTACAGACAAGCTCAATGACACACACACTCATACAAGCTCACTCACTAGCAGGCACACATAATCACTGTCATGGGCTGAAGCCTATCTGTCACAGAAGGCTGTGGGCGACTTGGAACACTGGGAGATTAAGTGTCCATTTTTTGGCCTATTCCTTTTAGCGATGTCAGCAGTGTTAGTGAGGGTGTGGGGCTTGTGTGGGGGTGTGGCTTGTGTGGGGGTGTGGCTTGTGGTCAGAAAGCTTTCTGTGGTCAGAAAGCTTTACAGTGCTCCCTCCAAACCCCTGGGAGCCTACATGGGAACGCACCAGCCCCCAGCACATCCCTCCTTCTTTCCCTTGGACTGATACAAGCTGTCACAGTCCAAGGGAAAATTATTTCAAAGGCACCTGCCTGTGGGGAGAGGGCAAGTTGAAAAATCCAGGGAGGTGGGTAAGTACCTCCCCTTACTCACCCCTCCGGACGTCCATAGATATTTCATTGATATTTCAAGTCCAATAACTGTTCTAGAAGAGGGAATATGTGTCTAGAATCCTAAAATTACTTATGTTTCTTCCTGGGAAAGTGGAATTAATTCCTAAGTGTCTCTATGTCCTAACCTCAACCCTGCTTCTCTGTAATATAAAAATAACCAACCATGCAAGGTCAACGAGAAAAAATGAAAATTGTAAACAAGATCTTTACTACCAGGAATATAAATACATTGTACTACTTCCAAGCACCTTGGAACCTGTTTGCCATTACCAACCTTGTTAAATATTACAGTATGTAACTAATTAAACTCTATGACACAATCCATGTGAACATTGAACCTTTTTATTCGTTCTAAATGCCAAAATGACTTACCAATGTTCATGGCCAAAGTCTTAAAATATAAATTCCTTGCATAGGTGTCTACATTCCCTCCTCTTTTTTTGTTGCCACCAATGGGACTTTGGAATCACAAAACGAACAAAATTGGGCATTTTGTTTGTTCCATGACGTGTATATATGCTATTTTGGAGCTCAGCATTTCAAGCGAATCAATGAACGCCCACATTTTGGACTAAATGCTTTCCGCCAATCAATGGACATATCTAGACTCTGTATTCCCAGTCCTAAGCTACTGTGTTTGTGCAATGGAGCAAGATTTCAGCATAAGCACAGCAAACCCATCAACGTGAAACCCCAGAATGTAGAGTGGTGTTCTCCTAGCAGCAAAGAAAAATTGTAACAAATTACTGCAGCTATTTATATATTCTAGAAACATGGAATGTGACGGCAGAGAAGAACCAGTCAGACCATCTAGACTGCCTAATTTTCTCAATGCTTTCATTAGTCCTTGGCCTTATCATATAGCTAGGATAGCATTATGCCTATCCCACGTATGCCTAAACTCCCTCACTGTGTTAACCTCTACCACTTCAGGTGGAAGGCTATTCCATGCATCCACTACCCTCTCAGTAAAGTAATACTTCCTGAAATTATTTTTAAACCTTTGCCCCTCTAATTTAAGACTATGTCCTCTTGTAGTTTTTCTTCTTTTAAATATGGTCTCCTCCTTTACTATGTTTATTCCCTTTATGTATTTAAATGTTTCTATTATATCCCCCCTGTCTTGTCTTTCCACAAAGCTATACATGTTAAGATCCTTTGACTTTTCCTGGTAAGTTTTACTCTGCAAGTCATGAACCAGTTTAGCAGTCCTTCTCTGAATTCCAAAGTATCAATATCCTTCTCGAGATACAGTCTCCAGTACTGCGTACAATACTCCAAGTAAGGTCTTACCAGTGTTCTGTACAATGGCATGAGCACTTCCCTCTTTCTACTGCTAATACCTCTCCCTATACAACCAAGCATTCTGCTAGCATTTCCTGCTGCTCTATTACATTGTCTGCCTACCTTTAAGTCCTCTGAAATAATTACTCCTAAATCTCTTTCCTCTGTATCAAATATTCTATATTCTGCCCTTGGGTTTTTACGCCCAAAATCTTGCACTTATCTGCATTAAATGTCAGTTGCCAAAACTCTGACCATTTTTCTAGTTTACCTAAATCATTTGCCATTTGACTTATCCCTCCTTGAACATCAACCCTGTTGCAAATGTTTGTATCAGCAGAAAGACATACCTTACCATCAAGACCTTCTGCAATATCACTAATAAAAATATTAAAGAGAATGGGTCCAAGTACAGATCCCTGAGGTACCCCACTGGTAAGAGGACCTTACTTTGAATATACTCCATTGACTACAACCCTCTGTTGCCTGTCACTCAGCCACTGCCTTACCCATTCAACAATATTGGAATCCAAACTTAAAAATTGCAGTTTATTGATAAGCAGGAAAGATATCAGTCCATAATGTCCATAATGAATGCGGCAGCGAGGCTCATCTTCCTGTCCGCCCGCACCTCCCCTTCTGTCAGTCCCTACATTGGCTTCCTATCAAATATAGAGCTCAATTTAAAATTCTGGTTCTTGCTTTCAAATCGCTACATAATGCTGCTCCCACCTATCTATCCTCCCTTATACACAAGTATGTCCCGTCTAGGCCCTTACGATTTGCTGAAGAGTTACGTCTATCTTCTGTCCGTACTCCCAACTCTGATGCTCGCCTTCAAGATTTCTCGAGGGCTGCACCGTTCCTGTGGAACTCGCTTCCCTCCTCCGTTACATGCTCACCCAGTCTCCATTCCTTCAAAAAATCGTTAAAAACCCACTTCTTCATAAAAGCGTATCAATTGAACTGTTAATAGCTCCCAAATGATTCCTCTCTTGCAACTGTCATTAGTCTATTACTATCCTTACCTTTTTGTGTCATTTTACCCCACTCCCTCTAGCATGTATTCTCCTTGAGCAGGGCCCTCAACCCCTCTGTTCCTGTGTGTCCAACTTGTCTGGTTACAACTACATGTCTGTTCGTCCACCCATTGTAAAGCGCTGCGGAATTCGATGGCGCTATATAAATAACATAATAATAATAATAATAATATCAGATGCCAAGTCAAGATGTGAACTTCTCCATCACCATCTAAGTGCTGGCCAGAGAAAGAAAAATTACAAATAAAGCCATTCACACTGCATTATATTATTATTATTTTTTATTTAATATGTATTATTGTTGCGGTAGTTGAGGGCACAGCTTGTATGCTTTAATACATTTTCCATTTACATATAACATAAAAATAAAACATTACTGTACAAAAATAAAATATAGTCGTACATGACTTACGTCTTCACAGAACCGTACACCACCCTAACAATGAAATACAAAATTGTGCAAATGAAATGCTATTTTTAAAAACAAACCTGTCGAAAATATACATTCATTCTAAAATATTACAATTATTTGAATTTACTTAAGACAGATTATATCCTTTAACGTTAGCAGCTGACCAGCTTCTTTTTAACTGATCTGAACAGTATATGACTCTATTAAAAATATATTCAAATCTCTAAATGATCTTTTTTGGCCTAAATGTTGCCAATTAAGTTATCACTTCAATTTGATTGGTCACTGTTGAATGAATTCATCCTTATCAGTCATATGCTCTTATTACACTATTGCATGTGTCTGCAGTTATACCTCAACATAGAGAGTCCCAATTAAACAACTTCTGCTGTAGAGGTAAATTGTCCAGTCTGGTCTCTTTTGACCATAGTCTGTAAGTTTTTCCGCTTACTTTCAACTTTCCACCCATAAAAATCTGTTCATGTTAAAAAAATGAAGATTTGCCTTAATGCTTACTCCTTGCAACCTATGGTGAGAGAATCCAACTTTGATGGAACCAATATATACTACTGCATTAATAATGGTCCCTGCCTTATTGGTTGTTTCCAAGAGCCACCTCTGATTGTCTTCGAATCTCAGTATGATGTCTACACATCATACTGTGAGGAATATCACAGTCAATGAAAATGGAACGTATCTGCAAAGTTACATATTATTGAGTAGTGGTGGCAATATTTTAACTTTTGCTTTTATTATAAAAACAAAAAATGAAAAAAATGCAAGTTTAATGTCAGTTTAATGATCCCCAATAACTTTTTTTTTTTGTTGTTCATCGGTTCATCAATGCAATCCAAACACTTAAAGATAAATGTGGTTTTAGATGATTTATCAGACAATCCCAGGATTGGGCAAAATCACATCAAATGTCTTGTTTTGCATTGATTTAAGTAAGGATCTTGTAGTTATTTTTCAATAGTAGGATAACTTTTCATTTAGCTGCTTAAATTATATTTTGCAGCAAATACTGTGGAATCTAGCACATTTTATGAAGTCACAGTTTATGGTTGACATCTGGCAGTGTATGAAACTGTTGGTGGTGGCATGTGATCAGGCTGGCAGCCATATGTGTCCACTGTTATCATATTTGGCAATATCTAAAGAATAAAAAAAAAAACAAGCCCATCACAATACTTCATATATTGTGAACACCTATAATGATGATGGAGTATGGTACTAAACATTTGTTTGCATTAAGCCAACCGTCTGTGTGTCTCTGTTTTTTAATTCTTCTTGCCTATACTGTTCTTCCAATCTTTGTTTCTCAAAATTGGTGTAGCAAAAATGTTCTTCATACGAACATTTTCTAATCTTATCAAAATTTCGAAAATTCGCAACATACTTTCCTTGAGGAGATAAAGAAATAACAGGAACAAATTCGTAACCCCAATGTATCTCGTCCGGAAGATAAGATGTTCGGCTCTGGCAGACAGTGCTGGTAGATTCAACTGTGGCATTTAAGAGAACAACCAGTTCAAACTCTTTAGTCTTTATGTTGTCTGCTGTCAGATCTTTAAGAGGACTTTTCTCATCAAGTACATGGTAAAAGGTCAGTGGGATAATCAAGAAAGGGCTTTCAGAAGAAGAGTCCACATGAAAATTCATATTGGATTGCTTGAGCAAAATCTTCTCTCCTTCTTTTGTCTCGTACGTAGAAAGAAGTTTCCCATAAAGTTGGCATTGTATCAAGAGGCTTTTTCTCATATTTGCCACTTGTACAACTAAACAAACCTTACCATTATGCTTTGTCACTACCGCCTGATTGCTGAACTTAATAGTCTCAGCACGTTTTTTTGGTCTTGCAATCTTGGCTAGGAATGTCCCAGTAATGAAGATTTCAATTAAAGTTGTAACGACTAGTTGTACAACCAGAAGGAAGATAGCATGGGGGCATTCTTCAGTAATGAAACGGAACCCGTAACCAATTGTTGTCTGAGACTCAAGGGAGAACAGAAAAGCTCCTGTGAATGAATCTACATTCATAACACATGGTGTGTGGTTGGTCAAGAGTTCATTGTGAACATCTCCGTGAACAAATGCAATGAGAAAATAGATGGCACCAAAAAAGGACCAAGTCAGGAAGAAACTGGCAGCAAATAAGGTGAGCTTATACCTCCATTTCATATCAATCACAGTTGTCCATAAGTCTTGAAGATAAAGAAGAAAGACACCATCCACTTTGTCAATCTTCACATTGCTGTGTCCAGTTTTTGATATCACTCTTGGTCTCTCAGGTTTGACTACAGTGTGAACCTCACCATTCACTAGTGGGCAAGTCGACAACTCGGATTCAGTGTTATCCATACTCAGATCCAGAATACTCCTGCAATGGAATAAAAGGCAACATGATTTTCAAAACTTTGCAATTGGAATGTTGATATCACTGGTACCTACATGTGTTAATTAAGACAATACTGCCCAACACTGAATCAATTAAACATGCACATATGCAAAACTACATACCAAACACCTCTGGTGTTAATAATTAGTAAGTATCATTGCTTCAGAAATACCAACTAGTCCTATACATGTTGTCTTCTACCCGTTTCCCCCATATAATAGTGATTAAACTATAGTAAAATACATAACTAACTAGCTTAAGAAAAGTACTATTAACAATATTTTCAAAACCAACACATATATTATAGGGCCAACAAGTTCATTGTCAGTATGAAACACACACTACTCCCTGAGTCAAAAATATAATTTACTCTTTTTAACACTTTTACAGAACCCTCCCTCCACCCCCCCAAAAAAAGATTGATATGGTAAAAATATTTTACAGAGCTCTTTCTCTTTACATTGAATCTGTACAAATTGGTAACACTTTGTATAACAGAGTTAAAGAGACACTGTAGTCACTATAAAAAAAAAAATCTTTCTGAATTAATTATTGTGCCTGGAGTCCCCTCGCACTGTCCTTCTGTTTTCAAGCAGTTTAACACTAAATAAGAATCTTTAGCCACCCACAGCCTGACCCTGACTGGAAGTATGGATAAGGCAGAGATTAAATACTTGCTTGTAGTCATACTCATTCATACAGGCAATGGTACGCTGGTATGCTCTGATACGCTAAAAGCATTAAGATGACACTCTCAGCCAATCACAGCTGCCCACTGCAGCTCAGGTAAATACTTCCTCATTAGCCCAGGCAGCACAGGGAGGATGGACTTCTGACGATTCTTGTTTATCATTTAAACATAATATCATTAAAAACAATTTAACACTTAATGAAAAAGACAGAACCAGGGGACTCCAGACAGTATGTCCAGTTCAATGAGATGAAGCAGATACAATGCCTCCAGTGTCCCTTTAATATAGTTTCTTAACAATGCCTAAAACAAGGGTAAGTTATCACAATATTCTTTCTCAAAAGTTCTAAATCCCAAGAAGATCTATAAACCCTATTACAAATGTTATATTTTTTATATTTCCTTGAACAGCAGTCTAAGCACAAAATTATTGATATCCCTAAAATGATGATACATAGATACTACAAGTATTTTCTCAAAAAATAACAGTGGTGAAGAGGTTAATTTTATTGGTCTGCTATATTAGAATGCCATATACTGCACGCTAGATCCCTATTAAGTAACACAATCCCAAAGTCACCATCATATCTCCGTATTGCGCAATTTGTGTGAACAGCTGTGATTATCCTTTGTCATAACACCAAGCCAATGTTTCCTGCAGATGTGATATGTGACCTGCCAGGAGGGTATAACAATATGCTATTTGCTGACATTTCTAAAAATATGTGGCTGAGCGATGAAATGTTTAACTCACACTCAAGAGTTCGGGATTTTTGAAAAAAATTTATTTTATATATATATATATATATATATATATATAAAAAATTATAAATAATCTAAACTATTCAGAAAGCCACTGTAGAGTAGGTCAGCGAGAAAAAAGGGGAAAAAATACAATTTTAATCACTGTACAAATATTGTTAATTATGATTGGAATTTAAATTTTGTGTTAAAAAACTGTAAGTATGTGCTGATTTACGCACTTTTAGTAGCTATCTGTGGCATGCAATTAACCTTTTCCTCCAATTGACTTGTAGACTCGTGCTAGCATGTTTTGCAGTTGCAAAGTAATGCAAAATGTAATTTTATCTGTAGACCCCAATTTACGTTTCTCTTTGCTTCGTTGAGGTTTTTCATCCTACAGATGTAGTACTTACTTCTCTGCTACGGTTTCTTCTGTGCCCATGCATCTCTGCAAATAGAAAGTATAAGATAGCCTTTCTCCCTTACTCATTCTCTACAGCAATATTTGTAGTACAAACTTTATGGCTGTATTTTAGCAGCATGAGTGGTAGAAGGGGTGGGTCTGAAAATATTGAAAAGAATGCAAGGAATTTTTGCAGACTGCCCTGTTTTGTCCAGATGTACTTCCTTTATGTGAACATTATACCAACATGCAAATATTATTTTCAAATTCTGGTGGGATTTATAGAAAGCCTTCTTTACAGGTTGTTCCTAACAAATACTCAGGAAATGTTTTATTATTACATTCATTTTATATTTTATGAGATAAAGAATACCATACAGTCTTTAATTATTATATTAATTACTATTGGCATTTATATAGTGCCAACTTGTACCGCAGCGCTTTACAATATTATCAAGATGGAAATTTAACAATAAATGAAACAATTACAAAATGTTACAGGAACAAAAGGTTGACGAGGATCCTGCTCAATCAAGCTTACAATCTAGAGGAGATAGGGCATGACAAACACAATTGAAAGGGCAGAGTGGGGGGACAGCAACAAAAGGGAAACTCCAGTGCCAGGAAAACAATCCATTTTCCTGGCACTGCAGGTCCCCTCTCCCTCCCACCACCCATACCCCGGTAGCTGAAGGGGTGAAAACCCCTTCAGGTCACTTACCTGAGACCCCGCCGATGTCCCTCGGCGGTGGTTTCTGCTACCCGCCGCTCCTCCCAGTGATTACATCAGCCGGTGGGCGAGACTGATCCCGCCCGCCGGCTGAGGAGACCTAATGCACACGTGCGGCAATGCCGTGCATGCGCATTACAGCTCTCCATAGGAAAGCATTGAAAATGCTTTTCAATGCTTTCCTATGGGGAATTGAGCAACGCTGGAGGTCCTTACACAGCCCTATAGAAGTCTTGCAATCACTGGTTAGCAGTAGGGGTACTAGCAGTGGACAGGAGTAGGTCTCAAGTTAAGAGGAGAGACCAGGAAGGGGCCGTACCTACACATATGTGAAGAAATGTATGCTAGAGTTGTTTGAAGCTTTATTAGTAAGGCTTAGTATTTTGAATTGACTCCTATAGGGTAGGAAGCCAAAGTAAGGAATGACAAAGGATCAAGGAATGAGAGCAGCAACGTGATAGGAAAATCAGCCTGGCATCAGCATTATTACAAAAGGTAGCAAGGCAGTAGTGTTTCTGGGGAGACAAATTAAGAGATAATTACAGTAATTACATAGATTACTATACCATGAAACAGTTTCTTAACAGCATCTTGTGTAAGAAAGGGGTGGACATGTGCAATGTTTTTAAGGTGGAATCAACAGGATTTGGCAACAGACTGGATGTGATGTGCAAAGGTGAAGCCAAAATCAAAGACAACACCAAGACCGAAGGCTTGCAAAGATGCACTGTTGTGGGCACCATCAACTTGCAGGGAGAGCAAAAGAGGAGTATCAATATTATTAGGAGTAAAATAAGAAGCTTGGTTTTAGAGAGACTGAGTTTCAGAAAGCAGGAAGGCATCCAATCAGAGATGGAAGAGACACATTCTAGGAGAGAGGGGTAGAGATCGGGGGGGAGAACTATATCTGGGTGTCATTGAAATACAGGTGGTAGGAAATGGCAACCAAGGGGTTAAAGTGCCCTTATATTATGGAGGGGCTCTGTGGTCTCTTGACGGAGAATTCTTGTTCTGGAATACTCTGGAATTCCAACAGATTCCATCATATGGGGTTTATTTTCTAAACAGTGTAACCCAGTGAACTGAAAACTGAACTGAAAAATGAAGGCCAAACGCTCTGTTATACTCCAGTCTGCCTATTTTCCAGGTCTAGCTATGATATTGTAACATCATTCCTGTGGGTTCTGGCAGTCAACTCATAACTGTGAAAAGAAAAACATAAGCTGAAAATAGATTTAAAACCAAATAAGGGGGGAAGTAAACTTTTTCAACTGTGCTATTCAATTATGGCTTCTCTACAATTCACTGTTTAGTGAGAAGGACCCTTATTTAAGGAACTCTCCTCTTAAGTATGCAAACACAAAGGGATTTCTCTATGTCAACTCCATCATTAGCTAATGTAAACATGGGTGGCCACACCATAGCTAATTATACCATGAACAATGGAGGTCTTTACATTGAAAATATTGAAAGCTTTATTCGCAAAACATCCATTCAATACAAACTTGCTCATTACTCATAAAGGCGTTATGACCAGTGTATCTGTAGATTTAATAATGTTAAATTATGTGCCAGCAGCTTAGGTTAAGGAATTCAGTACTTGCGTATTTGTTACAGATTACAGTCAATCTTAAATTTACCAGAGGCGCTAATCAGATTTAAGGGAAAACCCAACCTTAGTTTGAAATATGCAGCATTGTATAGACCAGGGGTAGGCAAGCTTTGGCACTCCAGATGTTGTGGACTACATTCCCCATAGTGCTCTTACACCCATAATGCTGGCAAAGCATCATGGAAGGTGTAGTTTAAAACATCTGGAGTGCAGATGGTTGCCTATGCCTGGTATAGACTGTGTTATCATATCTAAACGCATTGGGAGGTATGAAATAGGGACAGGGGGTTGGTGGGCCTGTGGGGGCCTGCCAATGAGTGACAACACCTGCTTTACCGGCATTGCCCAGTATGGGTGGTCCTTTCTGGAAAGTGGGCAAAGTCACCCAAAAAGGGACCTGTCAGCCTGGCATGACCAGGATGACTGATAACCTCCCAGGCCGCCACACGTAGTACAGCTGAAGTGCTATTTACAGGGTCCAAGTGCGCAGACACCATTCAGCGCAATGCAAGCCAACCTCCATGGGGACAGAACTCTGGTGCTCCCATATGTGGGTTACCAAGGAACCAACCCAGGACAGCATGACAGAACCACAAAACCAGGACAATCCCATCAGACTGTTGAGATGTATGCATTTTTCCACACATAATGGGGTTTTGTGCACTAAAGCATGATTTGTGATGAATATTAACCAATACTGATCAAATTGCAAAAAAAGGCAAAATAACCAAGCTGTGATTACAGTCTAGTTTTTCCAAGCTATATTTGTCTAAAGGCTGCCATTTTGTTTTCAATTCATTACAATTCAGAGTCTACTAAAAAAACAGAAGCACAGTGCGATGATTACTGCAAACATGCATACAGTTACAGTGTGTTTATTTTAACCCCTTAAACACAAGGTATATCTTAATATTCCATTCACCTCTCGTGCAGGTGTTAGAAACACGTCAAACAATATTCCATTCACCTCTCGTGCAGGTGTTAGAAACACGTCAAACAAATCAAGGCATTCCAAGGTTCCCCCTGTATTAAAGGGACACTATAGGCACCCAGACCATATAATCTCATTGAAGTCTTCTGGCTGCAGTGTCGCTGTCACCCTTAATCCTGCAATGTAAAAAAGTACTAAGACAGCCACTCTAGGCACTTCCGGTTTCTTACCTTACTCCTCATGTATCCTCATGCTCAGCATTGAGACTTCCAGCATCAGTGAACTCTCCATAGGACGCATTGGTTCAATGCTTTCCTATGGGAAGGGCTTAATGTGCATGCAGGGCACTCTGGGCCATTCCTTTATCTTCCAAATGTCAATTTGGAAGGGACTATCAAGATAGGTCATAAGTGGTGTGGTCTGGGAGAAAGCGATTAGCAACATGTCACACATTAACCTCAATATACAAATTGTAAGTCCAGTGTTTTCCAACCACTGGCCACCAAATGTCATTACATAGTTACATAGCGGAAAAGAGACTTGTGTCAATAAAGTGTCCTTAGAGAACCACCAGGATTTAAGGAGTTACGGAATGCTCTATTAAATCTGGAGTGATACTTATTTTTAAAGTTTCAAGATACATTTCTATTTTAAATATGATGCAAATAATTTAACACTACTACGCATAATTCATAAACACAGTATTTATTAATTAAATATTAATCCCATGGAACCCCTGGCCTTGACAGAGATGGGCAATTTGACTGTAATCACTAAGGTTAAATAGAGAATTATCAAATCCCTGAAGTGGATTTCTCACATTAAAAAACACTAGTCTTTGTCCCACCCAAATTCCATGTTATGGTTCAGTGGTGGGCCAACTTCTCCATTCATTCCACAATCATGATGAAAAAGACATTTATTGCATTTTTTGGAGATGTTTGTACAATAATATTTCCTTGTGAATAACAGTACATTGATTTTATTCAATTTTTATTAAAAAAGTAACCCAAGGTGAGATATCTAACTGATTAAAATTTGGGATAAAGAACCATTTAAAATATTATTTCAAGTCTTGCTCTTTTCAAAGAAAGATCTCAAGCATTATAGCTACAGCATATTAGAATGGTTTGAGGGCAAATACACAAAAGCTGTTGAGCCACACGAAGCCTGTGTAAAGTTGGTGGTACAGAAATGGTTGTTTCCGATTTAGCACAGATGATGCTTGCTTACCCATACATGTATTTCTTTTATTTATAGTGAAGAAAGGGATATTCTTTTTGATGACTTGCTTAACAGAGGTGGTGGACTGTGGGAGCTAAAGAATGCTCCATTTATTTGTCAAACGGCTTGAAAATAGTTTGACAAAAATAACAAAATATTTATAAGTTATGGTGCTTCGAGTGTCCCTTTAAATAGATTCACAAATCACTCCAACACTTCTCGCACCCATATAACAACCAAAATCAAGCTAACGTTACGTTTGACTTTACGTCTTACCTCTCAGACAGGATTGTAAGCGTGTGAACATAAGTCTCTCCTGTGCATACATTAGTAGATTGCAGTAATAGTTCTTCCCAACATGGAATTTATCCCACATTCCACAATCTATAATCGTCAAAGTGGTTTTGCACAAATGATGCTTCTTATATTTTTTCCCTACTTTTTTTGGCCTCAATTTAACAATTCAGCCATTAAGATGTCTATTCAACTTAATATGCAGAGGTACACATTAAAATATATATATAGATTTAGTATATCATTACAAACATCCTCTATGTTAGTTATTTTTTGCCCTCACATATAGATAATAAAAATAATTCTATAAACATTCCAACTGTTGCTACAATCACATTTTCTTCAGGTCATTCTAATTGTACCCTGTTGTCATGTGACCAAAGAGCAGGCACTAATAGGTCAGGCTCTTTGTTGCAATAGCAATATAATAAAAAAACCTTTAAGAAACTTTAAAATAGAATTGTTGAGCCAAGAACACAAAGGGCTTATGTTACTTGGCTGAACATGCTGTATGACGGTGATCAGTTTTGTTTAGGAGAGACAGCAACATTAAGATGATGAATTATTGTTAATCTTATCCATTTATTTCTTCCCAGTTTTCTAAGATATGGGTAATAGAATGATGAAGAAACGGAACTTGGTTACTGAATAGCTCAACATGCTACTGAAAAATGGATTTTTCTCAATAGCATAAGATTATTAAAGGTTCAACGACTGCAAATACATTGACACCACAGATTAAGTATAGAACGAGAACGCAATTTATCATAATTTTTGTTTTAGCTACATCTAAAAGGAAAAACGTGAGTTTGATGTAATAAAATATTTTATCTATATTATCATCTGTCATAATTGTGAGTCTTTGAGAAGCCTCCAGTACTTAGTTACCCATCATTTCATCTTGAGTCGGATAATTGGAATCTGCTAACACGGTGCTAACTGATCCAGAGAAAGATTAAGATTCTTTAATCCAGCAACTAATTGTATTCTAGACAAATTATGGTAAAAGACAATGGAGAGAGTTCGACTATGGTGATCCTTCTTTGAGTGTGTACGGTATGGTGTGGCATTTTGTATACTCTTTGTTTATCCTCAAGGATGCTGGTACGTGAACCAGAAAGTCAAGTCAGGTACCAAGTGGAATGAATGGATACAAATTTAATACTAATTAGGACCTAAGGATGGGTGAAAGTTTTACCAGGACATAAACATAAGAAGATAATTATCTGATATCCATCTCATTTATCCAGAGAAAGTTCACCAATTTGTATTTATTTTTTAGGAGAAATGTTGACATGTTTGCTAGACTGTGAAGGATTAGCTCAGATAAGAGACTTTGTAGTAAGATACAGGAATGTAACTCGGTTAAGAATAGTTGGCATGTATTTTTTTTATTTACTTGTTTTTTTAATGAGTCATGCATTTAGTATCCTAACCACAAATGTTAAAAACATGATAACTGTCCTGTTTAACCTCTGCTGTAACTTAAATGAAATGCACGCTATAATTTTAAATGTAATTTTGAAAGGCGCTAGTAAAACTAAGTATGGTGTTTGTTTAACACTGATTACAGGTTTTATTTGCTTCATGAGTGTTTTGTAGCTGCCGACTCTACGTATTACCATACAGCCGAAACTCCTGGCCTTTGAATTCTACAAGAAGTAATGATAAATGTTGCTAAATTTATGCTTTTGGGCAAAATGTTATTGCTGCCTTGTGACTAGGGGAAAATCCTGGCATTTGATCCAGTTTGAAACACTTAAAGGACCACTATAGGCACCCAGACCACTTCAGCTTAATGAAGTGGTCTGGGTGCCAGGCCCATCTAGGTTTTACCTATGGGTTAATCCAGCCTCTAGTGGCTGTCTCATTGACAGCCGCTAGAGGCGCTTCAGCGCTTCTCACTGTGATTTTCACAGCGAGAAGACGCCAGAGTCCATAGGAAAGCATTGAGAATTCTTTCCTATGAGACTGGCTGAATGCGCGCTGGGCTCTTGCCGTGCATGCACATTCAGCCAGGGACGTCAGAAGAGGGAGGAGAGTCCCAGCGCCGAGGGAGCCCGGCGCTGAAAAAAAGGTAAGTGATTAACCCATTCCTCACCCTTCAGTGCCACAGGAGTGCCCCCACCCTGAGGGCACTATAGTGCCAGGAAAACGAGTATGTTTTCCTGGCACTATAGTGGTCCTTTAAGGGTTGGTCCATAGATAGGACATGAGCCAGACATCATGCACAAGAAATCTTCGGGAAACATATTGACGCATGACCTTGATTGTAGTTGAAGAGCACTTTAGTGTCTGTAACACATCAAGTTAGTTCTAACATAATCATCTTCATTGAGTGTCAGGAAAAGGACACTTTTATTTAGGGAGTGGAGTTACAGGTTTAGCAAAGGGCAGAGATATTACAGAACATTTTAGTAGACTTCATGATCTACTGTTCGTCATTTTAATAACTGAGAAGCAATTTTGAATAAGAACTATTTTTTTAATTTAATTTGTAAACATAGTTAACAGTTTAAACAAAAAATACTGTAAGCACAGAGTGGAAGGGCATAAAAAGGGGACAAGGTCAATTTGGTCATGATGAAGGACACTGAGGTGTGTGCAATTTTCTTACCTAAAGTAATTTTATGTCTAGATTCTTCTTAATTGTTAAGAAATAAGAATGAGTTTTGGCCTAAAGGGATCTATTGATCCGCTAGAATAATCCTACATTCTAGCCAGATGTCCAGGATCATGCTAGGGATATGTATGTCTTCTCTAATCTTGAAGATTGGGCGAGTAACACAGAAGCATTCGTCATGATCCTGATGCACGAGTGTGTTTGGGGAAGTTGCAACACCCAAGTAATGTTTCTGTACTGTCTAGGATGGTAACTGTCTGTTTTTCTAACAGATTAACCACTTGAAAACCAATGATATTCCACGACCCAACCTTGATTTCATACTTCCCAAGGTTCAGAAGGTTCAAATGTATGGGAATGCTTTAGTACTTACATGTATAAACAGTTCTATACAGAAGGCTGTTGATAAATAAGTGAAAGAACCCATCCTGATGTACAATCTTTCAAAAGCAGATCGTTATAACTGAATAAACCATCACTGGTCATTAAGTGGTTAATAAAATCTGCTTGTTTCCTAAAGCTCTTTGTGCCCTCTTTCTTCCTCGCCAAATCACTCATGGACAACATTTTGTGCCACTCCATGCCATGCCACCGTCACAAGGAATCCACCTTCTGGATTCAAAGTTGTCCAAGCTCAGCTGTGTTCATGAGCACTCAGTAGAGTGTGCGGAGGGCCAATGAAGAACAGCTGAGACGCTGATATTCTGGTCACACATCGACATTGGAGACTCATTAGAAAGCTGATTCCACACATGTCAGAAATGCAACTAGGCATTTTAATAACCAGTCACCGGCATTGCAAGTGTCACCCCTGATCTTTAGTGTTGGCAGGCCTGATTTTGTACATCACACCGTAAGTACATTTAATTCCAGTAATCCTCACAGCTGAAATAACGCATCTTAGTTTAGACATTGTTAAGAACATTACAGCTATTTTAGGCAGGCCTCCGGCTACAGATATGCAAGTCCATTGGAAGCTTTTGACTAATTATTGGCCAATGATGCAAAATATTCTCTCCCACAGTAACATGTGTTCTTTTATAAATGTCCCAGTAATTAATGTGTAACCTTTAGTGGTTACAACCCAGCCAAGCTTGTCAACAATGTTAATTAATAATGTTCTCCTGTAAAACTTTTACCACACATTGAGAACACGGCAAACATAGTCATAAATGAACTCCATAGCCTTTCGATGACTGCTCTAAACCAGATCACAAGTGGATTACTTGCTTGTAACAAATAAACTGCAAGCATATAGTCATCTGTGTGAACAAAACACTCAAATTGCACTAATAATGTCACCATATTACATATTCATAATATGATCTAGAACTTTTATCTGAATTCACGGTCATTGGAAGGTGAAGAGAGGCTAAATGTAGCTAAAAACATCTGTGAAGTCATAGCAAATACTTGACATAACCAGGTATGAACCTTTTATGAACAGACCATTGGAAACCTGCCCTGAACAGGCTATTGGGGTGTGTGGATGTATTTGTAAGAGGCCTCACTAAGTGCCCACAAGCCTGAACTTTTCAGATCTTTCTTTTTTCTCTGTCTGGCTGCTATACTGCATGAGCTAGTGGCCTCAATACACTGTATAGGTTTGACTTTGTCATCAATTAAGCAAAAAAGAAGAATAAGTCTTTAGCTATGGGGAGTAGCTCCAGCAGTTCTCTCCCAGAGCCAGAGCACGGAGTCTGCATTCATCAAATCATAGACATGTCCACATCCAGTCACCTAGTCACAACACCTATTTTTATTGTTTTACTATTTATATAGTGCCAGCAAATTCCATAGCGCTGTACAATGGGTGAAGTAACAGACATGTAATTGAAACCAGACTAATGGACACACAGGAACAGAGGGGTTGAGGGCCCTGCTCAATAAGCTTACCTACATAGCCAAATATCCATACACAATCACCTACTATAGGGACAAACTGTATTTCATGCTGTGATTATGTATACTTGCTACAGCTCCACCTACTGTTCAGCCTTCCAATCACAGTCACATACCTCCCAACTTCGGCAGTCCACGAATCGGGATGTCATGGGAGGGAGTACATGGGTAAGGCCAGTGATGCACTAGCGTCACTGGCTCTAGCAAATTTGAGGAGGGTGTGCCAGAAAGGTCAGCTTACATTACAAGCAGATCAACCAGGTGTGAATGCACCCCAGGTTGCCTGCCAGTCTTGCAAGGCCAGCCACTGAGGGCCGACCCTGCAGGGAGCTATTTCTCAGTGCTTCCTAATGGGACCTAGTGCCCTAAACATAGCGCAAGTATACGCTCACACTACGATTGTTAAGGACAGTTACCTGGTGTACCCAATGCAGGACAGGGGGCAAAAACCTGTAACATGGGACGGTCCCGCTGGAATCACGACTGTTGGAAGGAATGCACTAATTATATTTCGTAACTGATGCTGCTTCTCCATTCATTTTTGCAATCAAATGAGATTTTAGGAATTTGCATTCATTCATGCATGCTTAACACAAATACCTATGGAGTGTTTTAGAATTTCTTCTTGACAGGCGCACGTCGCCATATGGGCAGGTAGAATTACTCCCTTAATACCTAACCCAATAAAACCCAATTTCTTCTACAGCTTTTATTAATGACAATAAACAATATAATTAAAGACATTGCCCCCGTATCAAAAGGTAATGACCCATATTTGAATAGTAAATATATAAATAACATACATAACAGTAAGAATCAACATCACAAAAATTATTTAAAGTGCCACAATTGTTAACTAACCACGGTAGGGTTACCCCTACCATCCACCAGGTTATGAGCCACAACCGAGCTCGAAACCCACTAAAGTTCATAACGAACCATTTTAACTAATCTCTTCACCAGCAGCCTAACTGCCCTTTTCTGTTTGAACTAACCCAGAGCCTGTTTGTCCCCTAATTTTCTGCTTTCTAGCCCCGCCACTGTGACCAAACGGGAACTAAACACCTCCAACACCCTGCTAACATGGGAGGGGGGACAAATTAGATAATGTAAGCAGATTAAAACAGCCTGTTTCTAAAATGGATGTCTATTTATACCCGGACAGCCCGTTACAATCCAACTCCCAATCCCTGGGGGCCTTCCCCCTATGCCCTCCTCCTGGCTCTTTCAAGGCCCCTTTTCCACTAAACTGCGCTTGTTCCATAGGATTACATTATATTTTATTTTCCCACTTACTGCATATTAAAAAAAAAAAATTTTTTTAGCTACTCTCTTCCCACTCTATATAGATAATTGCCAAACCAGTAATTGCGCTAATTGCATATGCTTGCCTCGCTTTATTCAAAAAGAATTCAGTAGTAAAAGTGTTAAAAGGCTAATTAGCCAAGTTGTCCATGGTAAGTTAAACCTGTCTTGTCATTCATAGAGCTGCACAATTTATGGTTGCTTGTGAAATGAATCTCGAGGAAGTGCTCGGATTGTTTCCACACTCATGCTATGTACATCCTGGCAAACACTCCTTAATAGAATTTTTATAAAGGTATCAATGACCTTGTTCAGTCCATCAATTTGTTTGCTAACTATAAGTAAACATTGCTGGGTATATATTAACCTGCCTGTCAAGAATATAAATTCAAAGATTTTTCAAACTCTTCTAAAGCATCAGTAACATTGTTACTTTCATTTTCAAAGTACTTACTGGGGAAATTAAGACAAATATGTATTCCTACTATACAGTGTCCCTTTAAGGACCAAGGATAAGGATAAGATTTATTATGTTTGTGGCCAAGGCCCTTTTGTTACTTTTTGCATTAAATCTACCGCAATGTCACCTTGTTTATGTGCATCCGTACATACTATATATAATTTTTAAAAGAGATTCTCTTTTGATACACAACAAGTACAACAGGAGAAAAAAAGCCAGGCAATGGCCTGATCAAGATGCTGGCGGCTCCCTCTCCCCAGCACAAATCTCTGAGGCAGGCTCTGACACCAATTCCCTGCCGCTTCACCAAGGGGAAATTTCCATCTCAGAAAGGAAATTGGCAGCTATGCTACAGGATCTGCGCTCCTCAATGAGAGCAGACTTTCAGTCAGCCATGGATGACATCAGAAAAGAGTATGAGTGCACTGGAAGAACGCACGGACGAGTTATGCCTTGCCAATAATTAAATAGTGGACAAGATCCACAAGATGGAGGCGGACATTAAGTACCTCGTGGAAAAACTGGCGGATCTGGAAGACCGTTCACGGCGCAAAAACATTCGCGTTCGCGGGGTCCCAGGGACTGTCACAGTAGCTCTACTGAAGCTAAATGAAGGAAATCCTAGATTGCTTTAACTTCCCATCCAAATTTCAACACTGACTCTTGTCCCTGTACTTTCCCCAACAGCTACAGTGATGAACTCGGGGTTTTGTCTAACAACATTTTACCCTCACCAATGGCACTCGGCAAGGCTGTCCCCTTTCACCACTCATCTTTATTATAGCACTAGAGACCTTGATCCACAAAATCAAATCAGACCGGTCCATAGTAGGAGTACCATCCCCAATAGTCCCCCAAAAATAGGTCTGTTCGAGGACGATGTTGTTTTGTTCCTAGCGAAGCCAATAGATCCACCTGCCCACATCTCCAAAACCTCTTACATGCCTATGGGCAGGTGTCCAACTGTAAGAACAATGCTGCTAAAACACAAGTACTGCCAATGAACCTACCAAACTATCACCTCACAGAACTACAAGCAAAAGATAAGCTTACCAACCTAGGGACACAGTTATCGCCTTCAAAACACATACTTTTAAAGCCCAATTATAAGAAACTAGTGATGAAAACAGAGCTGGGGAGGAAAAACTCTTCTTGGTTGGGGCGCATAAATGATGGTGCTTCTACAGACCCTCTTCCTCTTTATGGCCTTGCCAATCAAGATCAACATACATTGAAACTATATTAATGCAGTTTCAATGTATGTTGAATGCTCACATATGGAAGAGGAAACCACAGAGGGTCTCTCTGGCAAGCATCACCTTGAGTATGGGAGGTGGGGGTGTGGGAGTACCAAATATCACTAAATATTACTTAACCACTATTCTGGCAAAAACAGCTAGACTTACGACTTCTCCACAGACCCCTTTATGACACAGGCTTGAATTGGCATCGGGCGCACCACACTCATTGACAGACCTGATGTGGGTCCCCACCGGGCCCCAACCCAAACTATCAGACCAGTTCACACCTGGTTGAAATGGGCCCAAAAATGGTGACCAAACCCATGATCATGCATGCCTCCTTATACAGTTTAACGTACCAGACAAGTAATTTAGCACTGGACCAGTGGACTCGGAGGGGTATCACAAAAATGATACAATTGCTAGATGACGGAGGTATAAAACAGTTCTCTGATTTGCAACAAGCTTACCAGCTGCCTGGCAGAGAGCTGTTCACATATTTCCGTGTGAAACATATCATTGAAAGGTCAGGCTTGCTAGGAGGCATACCTCCAGATTATGTGCATTTGACATACTATGCCTGGGTCTTCCGACTCTCTCAAAACCACTCTCCCTGTGCTACCGCTGATTACTCAAAGTGGACAGACCTGCCAAACTGGGCTACATGGGATAATGGGAAAAGGAGCTATTATTATTATTATTATTGTTACAGGCATTTATAAAGCGCCAACAAATTCCGCAGCGCTGTACAATTGGGAAAAAGACAAACACAATAAGAACAGACCAATCCAACAGTAAGAGGACCCTGCCCGTGAGCTTACAATCTAAAGGTTAAACTGGGGAGATGAGACAAGAGGTAGCAGAGGGATATGTATGTGATAGCAGAAAGAGTTAATAGTATAACTGCAGCAGCTGATAGCATGTAGAGAGAATGAAGAAGTGATTGGCTCTGGTTCCAAACAGCTGGAAGAGCATGCTATATAGTTAGCTGCACTGTAATATTGAGCCGGGTGCTTGGTTTGCAGCAATGACCCAGGTCGAGAGAGCCACGCACTGCCTAGACCACGTAGAGGTGGCATACAAATTGTGGATGAGGTGGTACCTCATGCCCCAAAGGCTACCTCACATATACCCCAGCGCGCAATACATTTGCTGGAGATGCTGCAAACACATAGGCACGTTGAGTCACTGTCTGGAACTTACCACATTCTGGTGACAAATTCAAACCTTGATTGAAAAATGCATTAAAAACCTCTCCTACTTACCTACTTCATATGATGCCCAAATCAATTCCAAAATAATCAGCAGCATTGATCACCCATATTACGCTAGCAGCGAAGAGCTGCATAGTCACATTATGGAAATCAACTAAGATGCCACAGTTAACCTTAGTAATTGACAGAATAAACCACACACAACAATACGAAAAGATAGCGCACACCATCTCTGGTACTACGGAGGTGTATGACCGAATATGGCCTAAATGGCATCAAAGCTTTCCATGCTGACCTGAAGGAGCCGTAGAGCTTCACCCATGCTGCTGCCTTCCTGCGTCCAGCCCTACAAATTCCCTAAATAATTGACTGTTGAAGTGGTTGATAGATGCATAGTCTGTATTCTGACTAAAGTAAACAAATTTCGATAGAGCCAGTATCTCATTTTCTACGTATACCAGTCTATAACATGTTTTGGACACATAAGATTTATGTAACGTGTACCATACCTGTATGTACCTGTCTGACAACTGGTATGTAAAATGAGGTTTCATCTATGTGACGATTAAAGGACCACTATAGTGCACGGAAAAACAAACAAGCCCCACTCCCACCAGGCTGAATAGGGAGGAAGGAGGTTAAACACTCACCTTTCTCCAGCGCCGGCGCTGGGGGCTCTCCTCCCTCTTCTGATGTCATCGGCTGAATGCGCATGTGCGGCAAGAGCCGCGCCCGCATTCAGCCAGTTCAGCATTCTCAATGCTTTCCTATGGACGCTGGCATCATCTCACTGTGAAAATCACAGTGAGAAGCGCGGAAGCGCCTCTAGTGGCTGTCAATGAGACAGCCACTAGAGGCTGGATTAACCCTAAAGTAAACATAGCAGTTTCTCTGAAACTGCTTTGTTTACAGCAGGCAGGGTTAACTCTATATGGGCCTGGCACCCAGACCACTTAATTGAGCTGAAGTGGTCTGGGTGCCTATAGTGGTCCTTTAATGTTTGCCTGTACCACTGTGATCTGTGTAACCATCTTAGCAATAAAAACGAAATATTTAAAAAATAAATAAAACAAATACAGCAAGGAGTGTATTATGATTTTAAAGATAAAACTTTGAACAATTTGGCATGCTGAGATTACAACTTTTATAGTAGTCACAGAATACAAAACCGCTACACAAAAGTATATATTTGTGGAAAGTACATGCCCCAGGCTATTTAGCTAAAAGCATTTTGACAAGTTTCATTTAGCAATTTTAGGACCAATCTACCTGTGCAGTTTAGAGAATGGGCACTGACAAACCTTCACTAATTTCTTAGCAATGTCATCAAGATGGAATAAAATGACTAGTTTAGGTACTTTTTCTTCACAGGAATAAAGTTAGGAATACAGCTGCAATAATAAAGCCAGTTGCTCCTAGATCACTGTTTAATCTTAATGTTATTAAAATATGATTATAATGGCTTGTACTTAGGAAGCCAGTGCCAGAATGAATCTCAGTGTGTTTTAAAGAAAATATTACAGTTAAAAGGGATAAGAAATGTACCACGTGCAACTATGCGTCCAATTGGTGGTTTTAGCAGCTGATAACTTTATTCTAGATTATTTAACCCCATAGATCTCACACTTCCTACACCAACACACATCTTTGTAAGAGCAAAAATGTTGAGTTTGTGCCCTTAAAGGTGCGTGGTCTCCTCCCCTCTGATGGCGACCATTATGTTAGTGAACAGTAAAAATACTTTTATACCTTCAGTCGAACAAATAAAAAAATATGTAAATAGGTTGGTTGCCAAGATTTCAGAACACAAACTCATGCCAACACGCAATCCTTTGTAATAGTATTGCACACACTACTGATGTTTATGTTTTTCTGTTTTTTTATTGTCTCTGTGGCCTGATCGCACTCATAAGTGTGACAAATCTGGAAGTGAATTGATATAAGTTAAAGGTGAAGATTATGTAGTATTTTAGAATGGTAGAAATTGTAGTAGCCACAAGAAAAATTATATTTGTTTTAGGATCTTTGGCAATAAAAACATTGGGTACTTTACGTTCTTTGTTTGTCACATGTCTTACATCACAAAGATCCCCAACACATAAACATGTTCTAAACTTTATAAACTGTATCAGAAAACAAACATAGTTTATTCATCAAATATGTCATCTATCCAGGGCTTCTGGACAATTCATAATAAAGTAGTAGAACAAAGGTTAAATGGTTTAGGAATGTTTCCAGAATCCCGAGATAGCATTATATTAAATCAACACATGCTTTGTCATTATGCAAATTTTATATTACATTAAAAAAAAACAAGGGCCTATAGTTTGTGTATAAATTCTAAGGTTAGTGTTAGAACTAGGATAAGGGTAAATGTCTGCATTATTTTTATGGTATCATTAAAATGTGATTTGAAGTGGTGATGGTGACTAGAGTCTAATATTAAGCATTTCACTATGAAACACTGCACATAGGGAGCTTAACCCATTCGCTGCCCGAGGTATATGTAAACCCCTAGCAGCATCATTGTGGCATCATTAGCCAAGAGTTCTGGGATGACTAATGTCAATTCCGTGCATATTTCTGTGCATAGAAAGTCATTTATTGGCTGACGCTCTAAGTTAATGAATGGCTGGCAAAATTGGCCTCTGGCTTCTGCAAAGTTGGATCCATGTCACAGCCCGCAAGGAAAGACCCTCATCACCTGCTGGACCAGGTAAGTGGGCAAACCATTGAAAAACTGTTTGGACCATTACTGTAAAACAGGTATCATATCTTGGTATCATGACCACGGCAAAGGTGTTTGTATAAACAGCATACGACAAAAAATAACAAATATAATAGTGCTACTTTGAAAAAAAGCATATGAAATTGTACTTGGAAAACATCCCTTCCAATAATTATGTTATAGAAATACCTTACTGTGCTTTTAGATTCATAGCAGCTAAGTTTGTTCTGTTTCACAAATAATGTGAGCAATTATGTAATTTCTTAAACACTTGCAATTTTATTTTAAAATGAAAAATATGTTAACTGTTCAATATATTACTTTTTTGTAATGTATTAGTACAGTAACCCACAGTGTGTCTGTTTACAAAGCAATTAGATAAATCACAAAATGTCCATGGAGATTGTGACCCACACAAGCCTAACTGGACTCTATTCACAGACAAATTCCTAAACACCAGTGATAATTAGGGACCTTTGGTTCCTCATCTGTATTTCTTGCTAATGTACTGTGTTGTTAAGCTATAAACATTCTTACTGAATCGGACATTGCTAATCAAGGTCAGCCAAAAAGTGTGCTTGCATAACAGCATGTTAACATTTAAGCAGTCTTTGTTGCATAATATTGTTACTCTAAGTACACTGGGGTTATTGAACCAAAACCTCGCCACACTCACAATGTTCCATTAACATTGTTAATTGTGCGGTAACAGCATGCTGTGGAAGGGAATACTGTCCCCATAATTCACTAATCATTACCAGAGCTTTCATTCGAAACAAAAGAATATTTTGATTTAAAAAAAAAAATACATTCCTAATCTGAACATTGACATAATAAGGATGTAAAAAAAAATGCAAAAGTATTTTCAAAAGCACTTGTTAGTTTCCGCATTTCTTATTATTGCTATTAATATAAAGATTTTCGTATATATTTCTTAAAATATGTGGGAGATAGAGTTTGATAGACATTTGATGATGTGGGGTACAGTTTGATAGACAGAAAGTGAAACACAGTATATTTGCAAAGCCTTGCACACAAGCTTGCAATCTAAATGAAACAGGAGGCAAACCACAAACTGGTCAGATTGTAGATATTATTAGGCTAAGTGAGTTGGGCTTAGTTAAGTGGTTTGTCTTTTTAACGGGACACTTCACTGTCAAAATAAAAATCAGGACACACTCTTCATACATAAAGCATTTGAGCAAGCTAAATAGCTTTAGGGGTCTAGAGTGCATTAAAAAAATACAACATGCACCCACACAAGTCCACTAATGCTCTCATAGATTGCTATGTAACAAAACAGGATTGGCTGACAGATTCTAGCCACTTCCTGGACATTGTAATTTACATAGGATGAAGAGTAGGAACTTTCCAAAGAGGTGGAGCTTTTATGAGGTAAATATTCTCTTATTTATTATAATGTCTGTAAATTGTTAATGCATTATCTGTAACAAAACATATGTAGTAATTCCAGCCCGGAGTGTCCCTTTAAAAAGAAAGTGAGATTGTGCAAACTTTGCAAACTGTTCCAAGCCAACTGTCTGCTAGAGAGTGCAACATAATAACCCGGAGGGGCAGTACCTATACAATAAAGATTGCAAGAGGAGTAAAGGTCAGGGCACAGATCAGGAAAAGAAGAATGTTGGGAGAGGTCAAAGGTTAGTAGCAGATCTAAGTTACAAAATAATACTGTAATTACAAGAGGCACATCCAGCGGCTATGAGTTCACTTTTTAAGAGCACTAAATTATAACATTCTAATTTAAATCATAATATATTAATGCATAGCTAACAATACAAGCAAGCAGTTAATATAGATTTCCAACTTGAGTATAAACAGAGAAAACCAAATATATAAAGGGGTGTTGGCCTTTTTCTTGCAGAGGAACAAAAAGGAGGACACGTTTCATTGATATTGTTAACAAACTCACAAATAATGACACTTTTTTATTAACACACAAAACGCAAACCTAGGGACCAGATTTTAAAGTGTGCATTTTTATATATTTTATATACTATTTTAATTTACTATGCTGGGTTTGCATTTATTGTTCATCGGAGTAAGTGATATTTTTATAGACTCTTTGGTGCCCTCCAAATAATTGAGAATGCAACATATAAATGGACTTTAAGAGTGTCTGAGAATACAAGTGAATACAAGTGAAAACAAGTGATTAAAGGAACACAAAGGGCGCCATAACAATGTCACTGAAATGAAGTTGTGATGGTGCCAGGAGGTACCTGGCACTTCCTTACTGTTAATGGTTTAACTGTTCATGAAAGTTTAACTCCAAAGCCTGCTCTGCAGCAACATTTCTCTGTCCCAGTCCACGTCTGTTTTCAGAAATTCTTCTAATGGAAGTCCTGAACTGCCGCCAGGCAGGGGCGCGACTGATTGGCTTAGAGCAGTCCGTTGATGTTCTAAGCCTATCAGTAGCTCCCTATTCACAAAAAGAGGTATGTACAACATTTTTCAAAGCGGATGTGAGCGGCGACAAAGAGAAATAGCATTGCAGAGCAGACTCTCGGGTTAAACCATTTGTGAATGATTTAACCCTTAAGGTAAAGAAGTGCCAGCAACCTCCTGGCACCATAACAACTTCATTTTGATAACATTGTTATGGTGCTCAGAGTGTCTCTTTAACTGCCTTAGCTAAATGCTGCAAGAAGTAGGGATGTTTCAGCATGAATTGTTCAAAGAAGACTGTTGGAGGCTGGCATTACCGCAAGAAAAAAACTTTAAAAAAAAAAAAGAGTATTTTAGTTTATAGAGTACTCTCATTTTATAATATGTGTATCCAGTTACCGAAATACAGGGAGGGTGAACACAGGTATAACTACCTAACATTCCCTGGGTCTCCTGTGTAGCGGGTTTCACTTATTTTATTGCTTGACGCTTGATCTAATCCCAGCTCACTCACCCTAACCTCTATTGTGTAACCTAGAACTATACTAATGTGAACTACGTCCACCCGTATGGAATTCCGGTGACCTTAACTTGGTTCTCCACTGATACATTTATCCTAACATGGGATCCCACAAACTCTAACCTGGAAATCGATTAAAATGTGCAATTTGTGTAGCTCTCACTCTGGAAAAAAAAAAGATCGGAGTATTTCCTGGTCTCTGCAAAACAACACTGATTTTATTTTATTATAATTTATATTTTGCACTTACAATGAAATGTATCCATAATGCTGTCACCATGGTGGCCATAATCTGCCTGAAGTGTCTGTTTAAATACTTTTCCTGCTTAGATCATAAATACACAATGACAAGGCACCTTTAATCCACAGAACACAGGAATGTTCTAGGTAAACACTGCCATTTCCCTATTGTTTTGTAACAAGCAATGATGAAATAGTTTTGCTTTGTCTTGTCCTTAACATATTCAGTAGCTGAGTGTCAGAATACAATAAGCTGGGCTAATACGGACTAATTATATTATACCAGGAAGAAAACCCTGCACGTGCTTATTGTCTAAGGTTTATTGACTAAGAGCTTTAGGATGTTTCGGTTTTAAACTGAAACAAATAGTAATGGGATTCTCTGCATGTTTAGCTCACTAGTAATAGTAATGGGATTCTCTGCATGTTTGGTCCACTGATGTATCACTAGTAATAGTAATGGGATTCTCTGCATGTTTGGTCCACTGATGTATCACTAGTAATAGTAATGGGATTCTCTGCATGTTTGGTCCACTGATGTATCACTAGTAATAGTAATGGGATTATCTGCATGTTTGGTCCACTGATGTATCGCTAGTAATAGAAATGGGATTCTCTGACTGTTTGGTCCACTCATGTATCACTAGTAATAGTAATGGGATTCTCTGCATGTTTAGCTCACAGATGTATCACTAGTAATAGTAATAGGATTCTCTGCATGTTTGGCCCACTGATGTATCACTAGTTATAGTAATGGGATTCTCTGCATGTTTGGTCCACTGATGTATCACTAGTAATAGTAATGGGATTCTCTGCATGTTTGGTCCACTGATGTATCACTAGTAATAGTAATGGGATTCTCTGCATGTTTGGTTCACTGATGTATCACTAGTAATAGTAATGGGATTCTCTGCATGTTTAGCTCACAGATGTATCACTAGTAATAGTAATGGGATTCTTTTCATGTTTGGTCCACTGATGTATCACTAGTAATAGTAATGGGATTATCTGCATGTTTGGTCCACTGATGTATCACTAGTAATTGTAATGGGATTCTCTGCATGTTTAGCTCACAGATGTATCACTAGTTATATTAATGGGATTCTCTGCATGTTTGGTCCACAGATGTATCACTAGTAATAGTAATGGGATTCTCTGCATGTTTGGTTCACTGATGTATCACTAGTAATAGTAATGGGATTCTCTGCATGTTTGGTCCACTGATGTATCACTAGTAATAGTAATGGGATTCTCTGCATGTTTGGTCCACTGATGTATCACTAGTTATAGTAATGGGATTCTCAGCATGTTTGGTTCACTGATGTATCACTAGTAATAGTAATGGGATTCTTTTCATGTTTGGTCCACTGATGTATCACTAGTAATAGTAATGGGATTCTCTGCATGTTTGGTCCACTGATGTATCACTAGTAATAGTAATGGGATTCTCTGCATGTTTGGTTCACTGATGTATCACTAGTAATAGTAATGGAATTCTCTGCATGTTTGGTCCACTGATGTATCACTAGTAATAGTAATGGGATTCTCTGCATGTTTAGCTCACAGATGTATCACTAGTTATATTAATGGGATTCTCTGCATGTTTGGTCCACAGATGTATCACTAGTAATAGTAATGGGATTCTCTGCATGTTTGGTCCACTGATGTATCACTAGTAATAGTAATGGGATTCTCTGCATGTTTGGTCCACTGATGTATCACTAGTTATAGTAATGGGATTCTCTGCATGTTTGGTTCACTGATGTATCACTAGTAATAGTAATGGGATTCTTTTCATGTTTGGTCCACTGATGTATCACTAGTAATAGTAATGGGATTCTCTGCATGTTTGGTCCACTGACGTATCACTAGTAATAGTAATGGGATTCTCTGCATGTTTGGTTCACTGATGTATCACTAGTAATAGTAATGGGATTCTCTGCATGTTTGGTTCACTGACGTATCACTAGTAATAGTAATGGGATTCTCTGCATGTTTGGTCCACTGATGTATCACTAGTAATAGTAATGGGATTCTCTGCATGTTTGGTTCACTGATGTATCACTAGTAATAGTAATGGGATTCTCTGCATGTTTGGTCCACTGATGTATCACTAGTAATAGTAATGGGATTCTCTGCATGTTTAGCTCACAGATGTATCACTAGTTATATTAATGGGATTCTCTGCATGTTTGGTCCACAGATGTATCACTAGTAATAGTAATGGGATTCTCTGCATGTTTGGTTCACTGATGTATCACTAGTAATAGTAATGGGATTCTCTGCATGTTTGGTCCACTGATGTATCACTAGTAATAGTAATGGGATTCTCTGCATGTTTGGTCCACTGATGTATCACTAGTTATAGTAATGGGATTCTCAGCATGTTTGGTTCACTGATGTATCACTAGTAATAGTAATGGGATTCTTTTCATGTTTGGTCCACTGATGTATCACTAGTAATAGTAATGGGATTCTCTGCATGTTTGGTCCACTGACGTATCACTAGTAATAGTAATGGGATTCTCTGCATGTTTGGTTCACTGATGTATCACTAGTAATAGTAATGGGATTCTCTGCATGTTTGGTTCACTGATGTATCACTAGTAATAGTAATGGGATTCTCTGCATGTTTGGTTCACTGATGTATCACTTGTAATAGTAATGGGATTCTCTGCATGTTTTGCTCACAGATGTATCACTAGTTATATTAATGGGATTCTCTGCATGTTTGGTCCACAGATGTATCACTAGTAATAGTAATGGGATTCTCTGCATGTTTGGTTCACTGATGTATCACTAGTAATAGTAATGGGATTCTCTGCATGTTTGGTCCACTGATGTATCACTAGTAATAGTAATGGGATTCTCTGCATGTTTGGTCTACTGATGTATCACTAGTAATAGTAATGGGATCCTCTGCATGTTTGGTTCACAGATGTATCCCTAGTAATAGTAATGGGATTCTCTGCATGTTTGGTTCACTGATGTATCACTAGTAATAGTAATGGGATTCTCTGCATGTTTGGTTCACTGATGTATCACTAGTAATAGTAATGGGATTCTCTGCATGTTTGGTCCACTGATGTATCACTAGTAATAGTAATGGGATTCTCTGCATGTTTGGTTCACAGATGTATCCCTAGTAATAGTAATGGGATTCTCTGCATGTTTGGTTCACTGATGTATCACTAGTTATAGTAATGGGATTATCTGCATGTTTGGTCCACTGATGTATCACTAGTAATAGTAATGGGATTCTCTGCATGTTTAGCTCACAGATGTATCACTAGTTATATTAATGGGATTCTCTGCATGTTTGGTCCACAGATGTATCACTAGTAATAGTAATGGGATCCTCGGCATGTTTGGTTCACAGATGTATCCCTAGTAATAGTAATGGGATTCTCTGCATGTTTGGTCCACTGATGTATCACTAGTAATAGTAATGGGATTCTCTGCATGTTTGGTCCACTGATGTATCACTAACAATAGGAATGGGATTCTCTGCATGTTTGGTCCACAGATGTATCACTAGTAATAGGAATGGGATTCTTTGCATTTTTGGCCCACAGATGTATCACTAGCCTATCATTAGCTTTCCTTTCAGAAAATTGCAGGAGAAAGGTATCTTCCATTCTTCCGTTTGTGACAAAACCCAGTTATTCTCCCAGCTACTTTCCCTGCATTCGGTAGAGGGATCTACTGAACGCCAAGCAACCCCCTGGCTCATTAACTTAAAATAAACCACAAACTTAAGTGCTCTCTCTGTGTGGCACGAAAGCATGCAGCAGGACTTGGTCGTCGAGTGTCTGGAACTCTAAGTCAGACACTCGACCTCGCGAACACCGGCAAACCCTCACAGACACCTGCTTCTTTCCACGCCAAGCCAGGAGTGCGCTGTTCGGTAGGCGAACAATCGCTACTTATGAGTCATCTTTTTGTTAATTTTGGAAACTCCTGAAATTGACCGACTGCTACCACTGATTCTATGAAACTAATTTGGGCTGGCCACATGTGCAGTTGGTCAAAACTTTAGCCCGGGGACTATTCGGCTGTGTTCGTGGGTTCTGAGCGATATTTGGACAAATTGGGTGCTCAGATCCAGGCTATCCGGGGATATAATATATGTGGGGGTTCCTCTATGTGTTATGTGTATTTTTTTAATATTTTAGGTTTTATGATTTGTAACTCTAGTGCCTGGGAGATAATTAGTTTAAGCAAAGTTCACTAAATTTTCCCCCAGACACAGGTGTGTTGTGGGAGTATTCTGCTATGCTCTTGCTTGAGACCCCCTGCTGGGGGTCTGTGTATAAAAGTGGGCCATCTGGCCATGATAAAACATTCCTATTGTACCCTTCATCAAGTCTCATCTGATATTTGGGTATGCGAATGACGAACCGGTGGATTTATTCTCACAACTAACTTGGATTTCGGGAAAGTACGAATCAGTGTACTATGCGAACGGGCTATAATCACTAAGCCCCTAGCATTTCGGGAGTATATGAACGAACGGTTCATACAAAATGCAAGGTGTTCGTTATACCATTACAAATCAATTTAACCTCTTCATGTAGGACGGAGCCCAGGATCTGCAGGCAACATAATATCTTGATTGAGATGAAGTTGTTATGGTGCTTAAAGTCTCCCTTTAAATTAAACAAATGTAGCAATGACCAAGAAACTAAAGAATATCGATATAATTGTTTTGTTTAAAATGTCTCGATTGCGGTTTAGCAATGTAGGTTAATGAGGTTTACAGCAGTAGAACTTATATACAGTTTATTCATATGTTATTCCAGGGAACACAGGAAAATCACACTTTTTCTGACAAATATAATTCCAAAAACGTTTTAACTTTCAAGGAACTGCCTGTATTTAAGCTATCTCTCCCGTAATGTTAATTATTATGTTAATAATGCATTTAATAGTCCCAGCAACAATATATCTTTTATAAACGCTTAAATAATTATAGTATTGCTGTTGTGTTGTTTTGCAGACAATTTGGCGACTTCTTAGAGTGTGAGGGATTAAACATTTAACCTTAAAAAAGTATAACAAAGACAAAATAATGAATATAATTGGAATACATATGAAAAAAACAACAACTCATAAGTGAGTCTATATTAAAATAAAACAGCACTTAAGAAATCCCGTAAGGAAATTACTTTCTAATCTCTTTGTTATCTACTATTCCTGTTGTAGAATAATTAGCACCATGTTCTGACGTACGTTTATAGCTCCGTAGGTCTATAGTTCGGAATGTTGGATGTATTTAAATGTAGGATCCGACATCCACAAACTCTACAACACGTTCAGTAGGTTACATAGAGACAGGTTGCAGGGACTCAAGGTGATCGGAAGTTGGACATTTTTTTTTTTAAAGTTCATCAAGTCCAAGTAAATAGTATTAAAATGTGCAAAGCAATGCATTTGTGAGTTAACAAATGGCATGCAAAGTTTTTTTTTTTAACAAGTTGTGGATATCCAATGGTAATGTAATAGAGATTTCTATATATGAAATACATTCTGTAATTTAGCAAATTAAAAAAAAAAATGAAAAATCACAAATCCTTTCCCAGTGTCATAATATTCAGTGTAGGAACCAAGGAAGATCTGGGGGCAGCCATTTATTACAAACCCAACGGTCCTCAGGAAGCATATGTTAAACAATGCAGTTTTCTATCGACAAAATGCTACAGCCCTATTTTTTATCCCTTGCACCCTCACCCCCACAAGATTATCTTGGGGATATTTGCCCATTCTCTCCCAACTTTTTTAGATTGGGAGCCTGCTTGGCAGGGTTCTTTTCACCTATCGTTCCCGAAAGACAAATGTGTTTTGTTAGCATTTTTTGTCTTGTTTTTCCTATGGCACTGTGCTGCTGAATATATTGGCACTATATAATTGTATTTGTATACCCATGCTTTCAGTTGAAGCGATCATTGTACCATAGTTTACACTTGTATATTAGGAACAATGAAAGCACGAATTAAATAATAAAATATTTCAATATTTACTTGAATTCATGTTCTTTAAACATCCAACCTTTGTAACACCGGAGACTCCTATAAAGACAATATAGAGATTGCCTAACCCCCAATGAACTCCCAAGATAGACTGTGTTCATTGTCCATTTACAGTAAGAGCTTGAGATGAACTGTGTACTCGTTTACCTTGTAGTTGGGAAAACAAATGGAAAGTGTGGGAATTGATAATTACCCAGTGGAAACAAACATCGATAATGGCAAGTTAGTGGGTTAGTGGTTTGGACCGCTGCTACTATTAAGGTGTTTGTATAGCACTTTGATTAATGTCATTTTGAGTCACCTTCGTTCCCATAACATGGACTTGTTAATAGAAGGTGGAGCTCTTTAAAACCTTAAATTTGAGGAAGGTTAAACAAGAAATGCAATGTTTCCATTTAAGATGATTAAGAATATATTCAAACACCAGGAAGGGATACAATATCACTGAGAGAGAGAGAGAGAGAGAGAGAGAGAGAGAGAGAGAGAGAGGAAGACAGATTACCTATTCAATGCAGATAAAGATGTAGGGCATCATTTAGTCCATCAGTATCTGAACCATGACACACATTTTGTTGTTTGGGTTCTCTATTCCATTCAGAATTATGTAAAAGAAAGTGTGCAATAACTAAAGGGAATATATACAGAATGTCTGCTTTCATTTTAAAGCTTTGAACCGTGTTGGATTTTACATTTGAACCATGTTGGATTTTACATGTGATTGTAGAAAAGGTCTATTTTTTATGTAATGTGTTTTTTGTTTTTGTTTTTATTCCTTACATTATTTGTTTTTTTTAAGTTTGAGAGTTTTTTTTGTGAAAAATTAAATCTGTCTGTCCGTCCATCTTCAGGCTGTTTCTACACTTCTGAGATTCAATGTGAATTGTCTAGTAATTAACCATATTATTGAGAGTAAACTAATCCATTCAGTGTTTAGGGCTCTGTCAAAGGAGATCATTGTTGAACTGATGTACACACACCAGTGGCTCCATTTTGCCACGAACAGCGAGCCCACAGCAGGGTGGCAGTTTTCAAATTCTTGACATTTAAGGCATTCTTTTTTTACACTAGAACACGTTCAACTTTCCTATTTCAAGGAGTATTTTTTCTTTTAGGGCTTGTAGCAGACACAAAACTAAACATGTTAATTGAAACATCAAAGAAAGTCAAAATCAAAGATTATTTTGCCGCATGAAAAAAAAAAAAAAAAAGTAATCCAAGAATGGTTCAAATGTTTTCAGTCTTCCCTAAAAAAAAATAATAATAATACAGCTTATGCTTTTATTAACACAGTCTGGAACTTCAAAGAAATCACTTGTACCTGTTTCCAAGGAATACAGTCGGACTGTTCTATTTACATGTCAAGAGAGAAAAAACAGGAAAGTGTGCATTGCCAGGGACAGCTGTTACTTAACCTTTTAAACCCAAGAGATTTACACGATAAGGATTATAGATAAAAAGCAATTCTGGCCAGTAGAATAAATGTGGGCCAATTAACAGGAGAATTCTATTGGTTGCCATGGTTATTGCTCCACTGAATGAAATTTGGCTCAAAATGCAATTAATTTGACTCAAGTCACTCGATGGCTTAAATCACACTCCATATCTGTACTTATACTAATCTCATTATTGATAGGTAAGCCCTATAACAGGCTCTATAACAGATGTTTTGGACTACATCTCCCATAATGCGCCTACAGCCATAATACTGGCAAAGCATCATGGGAAATGTAGTCTGCAACATATGGAGTGCCGTAGGTTGCCTACCCCTGTTCTATAACAACTAAGTGCATCCTGCAGTGCTTGAGGTTCAATCCTAGAATTCTTTGTGCCAGTTGCGCCTTTCACAACCAGGCGTAGCTGTAGTTCATAGGTCAATGGCTATGGCGCACAATCATTTTAAAGTTTTATCCAAAAATATTAAATTGAGGCCTATGTTAGGAATTTATATCCAATCAAATTGCATGCAACATTTGCCTAACTCTGCTGGATTACAACTTCAACTATCGTACTTAATGAGATTTTGGCTGAGACTAGTGAGAGTTAAATTATACATTTAATGTAGGCCTCGATTTTATAATTCTTGTTATATATGATATATTTTTGATATTTGAATATTTTGATAAAATATATATTTGAAAAGTTTATCCAAAGTATTCAAAAATTTGAAAAGGTAATCCAGAAATAGAAAATTGTGGTTGTAATGGCATAGTAAGGAAACAGCTTCCTCAACAACTTATGTGGAATACAACTCCAATCAATCTCATCCAATGGTTAACTGAGCCTGGTAAGAATTTTAGTCCACAGCAGCCTTTTCTTTAGAAAGTTACCAAAAATGAATACTTGAACTGATGAGGCGCTTAAACCAATATAGTTCTAAACTATGTTTTTTTTCTATGAACCTATAAATCTCAATAAAACCACTTATCCTTATGAGACACTTTGGAGTAGAGATTTGTCCTCAATGCTTCTCTATTTGTGCAAATTTTAGTAACTGCATAGTTTTCTGCAGCCATTAAAAATATGCATTACAAATATATGCGATTTGGACATAGAGTTTTTCTTCAAAGAAATGGCACCATGTCGTTTTTAACAAGTACCTTTTAAACAGTGTCAGTACAGGAGCGTAGATCATAGGATAATTTGGGCAGGGTCATCTTCACATACTGTTCCTGTGTGTGACACATGTTTCTTACAATTAAATGTTTGTCTTGTGTAATTACTGTTTAGCGCTACACAATATGTTGGCGCTATATAAATAATTGTAACTGTAGTACTCCCGTAGCCATGGTTAAACAAACAACAGATAATTTGTCTCAGACGTACATTGGCCAGCCAGAGACAATGGCTGTGGTTTTATAGCTGTAAGGTTACAATATTGAGACATGTGTTTACCCAGTATACAGAAGGTTCCATGTTTCACTGAAACATGTTTCGCAATGTCTTAACTGATTGCAATCAATCCACCTGCCTGTAAATATTGCTATAAGCATGCCTCTGTGTATGTTATAAACTCAAAGGTTACAGACATGAAAACAAAACACAGAAATGGGAAGAACTAAAATTGAATGGAGACCCTAGGTACATGGGTTGACAATTGCCAATGGATGACAACGATTAGAGTTAAAATATAGGATTTAGAAGTAGTAGGTGGTGTGTACAATGCTATTATTATTATTATTATTATTATTACGATTACTATTATTTACAAGCAGTTAGAGATTCTGCAGAACAGCACAACAAACAAGAAGTTGCAACAAAACAAGTTGGGCGTACAGCACCAGCTCAAACACTGTTAGTATATTTAATAAGTCAGAGGGGAGTCGGGTTTAATTACACATCTCACACAAATTAAACCGTTGTTTGCAATCATAGTTCTTGCAATAGAACTAGATATTGAATGTGGGGAGGGAGGAGTAAGGAAGGATATTAAAGGTTTATGATATGATGGTGGTATGGACGAGCACCATAGCTGTATCTGATGTTACGTAGTGGTAGATGCAGATGGAAATGACAGGGTTTAGTGATTGACTGGATGTGAGGGGTGAAGCAGAGGTTGGAATCTAAAAGAATGCCAAGACAGCAAGTCTCTGGGGCTGTGTTGATAGGATCAATGACCTTCAGGGAAAGTGGCACGGGGGCAGTAGTTTTTGAAGGAGGAAGACAAGAAGTTCTGCTTTGGAGAGACGTTAAAGAATGCGAGCGGTCATCCAGTTACAAATGACAGGGAAACAGCTAGAGACATGATTCGAATGGGAACTAGAGATATCTAGAAAATACAGGTAGAACCGAGTGCCATCAGCATAAATTGATACTCCATACCAAAGAACTGATTAGTAGTCCAAGAGAGGCATTAGAAGAAGAAGAAGACAGAGAATAGGACCTCAACACAGACAAAGAGAGGTGCAGAGGGGAGGAAGCATCAGACAAAAAGAAACCGAGAGAGTACTGGAAGAGGTAGGAGGAGAATCATGAGATAGTTACATAGATAACTTTATAACGGGTAAAGTATGACATTATCAAAATCAGCAGGAAAGTCCAGAAAAATTAGACGGGAGCCGTGACACTTGGGTTTCGCAGTAATTGAATCATGAAGTGGGTCAAACAGAGAGTTAGATTTGAGAAAGTTAATCGGTCTGGAATATACAAGTTTCTCCAGGATCTTGGAGGCAAATGATAGAGCAATGAGGTGGTAGTTGGATTTCGTATTTGGGTACAGGTTGGGCTTTTTAATACATGAATTATGGTTGCGTGCTTAAAGGTTGCAGGAAAGACACCAAAGCAGAGTGAAAGACTGGGCATTTTAGTAAGAAACAAAGCAACTGAGGAGGGCAGAGAAAAAGTTAAATGTGAGGGAATAGGGTCAAGAGCACAGGTTGTAGGGTAGGAAGACAGAAGTAGCGCAAAAACATTTGTACATTGTGTAGTGGATTTAGCTTGAGATTCCATTCCTGACAGCAGTAATCTTTATCATGACACGTACTGCTCATTTTGGAGTAATCCGATTAGTAGAAGGGGGAATGGTGGCAGGTTAAAGCAGTGTGTTTTGTGGCAAATAACGTATTAGAGGGATGCATCATTATCCTACAAAATTCCCATCGGGGTTATAGGATATATAGCTTAGCCCCCACTGCCAATTGATTCAGCTGATATCAGTGGTAATGTTATTCACTAAGGTTATTTGCAGTCTATGCCCTGGAAGATGGATGAGAACGTGGTCTATGCACGTAGTAACGTCAGCAATTTTTGCAAATCGATGCAGTTATTAGCCACTCTGGGCACGGAGGAGAACTTGATACCTTTGAAATCTTGCCAAGTTGTTATGTTGCATAATTCAAGGAGAAGTAGATGTAGCCTGTGAAAATAGCGCCATGTGCAGCGTGGCCATCTCTTCCATCTCTACAATGGAGTGCAATGTTACCAAGAGTGATTATATTAGTAAGACGTATCCCTATAGCACAGTACAGAATGGTACGCAACCGCGGCTTGGAAACTGGTTTTTTTAAATACTGGAAAAGTGAAAGTGTAAAGAAGAAAAGAAAAAATAATGTTTGTAAGTTTTACTTTTAAGAGAGATTTTCTGTTTCTTTTCTTTTTTTGCTGATATCTGCAACCTTTTCAAGAAAGTTCAGAATTATTTGGCTGCTACAGTTATCCTGTAACTAATTCCTCAGAATGAGACTGTTGATACTGGCTGTTATTTTGTGGAACGGTTGTCATTTCCTGTGACATTACTTAGTCGCCTTTCAGTGCCTTAAATTACCTCAGGCCATAGTACAAAACAGAAATAGCATTGTAAAAAAAGTAGAAGTACAGAGCCATAGGCTACACATTGCAGGGTGAAAAGAAAGGTATATTTAATTATGGTCCAAGAGACGAAACAAATATATGCCGTTTCGGCCATAATTAAATATACATTACTTTTCACCGTTCACTGTGTAACCTGTGGCTCTGTACTTCTGAATTTATATTGGGGCTAGCGGAACTCCCCTACATATCTCTGGTGCATCAATATACTAGTGTGCAGAACTCTACTACCCGATTGTAAAAAAAAGTATTTGTGTAGTGCAAGGGTTAATGTTTCATGTAGGCTAATGTTTAGTGATAGGTCTACTGTTGTATGGTAATGTAAGAGTTAATGTATAGTGTAGTGTGTAACAGTAATGTATGTTAGGGTAGTGTAAAGGTTAAATAGAATTTTTTACTTTAAGGGTAGCATTGTGAAATACATGTCCTATTGCTGGATGGGATTGGTGGGAGCTAGATTGTTGGGCAGCAGGTGCTGTCATTACAATGACTGCAGGTACCACAGTGGAGTGTAACTCCCACTAATCTTGGGTAGACCAGTTTATTATTGTCTATCTGTGAATGATTCCCACAGACTGTAAGGAGGTGATCTGTGCATCATTACCCATTAATTATGGGGAATAACTCACAGACAGGCAAAGTCACCATCCACACAGTATATGATCTGTCGTGTTAAAATACGGTCCACTCTAGGCTTCGTTTCAACTATGTACTAAAGTCTAGAGAAATTACAGTGGGTAAACCTTAATACAGAGGATTGCATTCTACAGGACCCCTGGAATATATTCTTAATTATCCATGCATTCTATATCATGGGGGTGGTAAGGAAGCTACAGGAAAAGGTCACATCTTATGACATGGGATAAAGGGGTGCAACTTGGTGGTCGTGCCTTTCTTGGCTACAATTGAGCCACAAGAACCCCAGTATTTTATTTTGTTGCTTAAGAACGAACCATTTCAGGGATGCCTATGATATTCAGTTGCTCTTGGGAATCCAATACTTAAATGTTACTATCATTGCACCTGCATGTCCTTCAGTGCTGCTGCAAAGAGCTGAACTTTGCAATTCTCCGCTGCAGCACTGAACGGGTTAGTTTAGTCCATGAAAGTCAGGTTGTGCATGTCTAGTGTAGGATTAGGGCTCTTTAAACTGGTTTTAACTACTGTCAAGAAGAGCAGGTCATTATAGACACAGGGCAGTCTGTAATATGACCTGCTATACTGTAGCTCTTTGAAGTGCAATGGGTGTACTGCATTTAATTACCCCCAAACCAACCGTAGTTTTTACAGGTGAGAATGTTATTATTTCTTAGCAAGCAGCTTCGAAAAATGCAACTTCTAAAAACAAAACCATAAACCTTGTTGAACTCAGAACTGTATTTAGAAAATTAAGCCAAAAACTACTAGAAAGCACGAAGGCTCATCGTTTTATTCTCCGCAGCTCTTGGTTTAGTCAGTAAACCCAATTTAAAAAAATTAACGTTTGCAAAGAAAGACAATCAGCATGTGATCACTGAAGTATTTAACCCACCTCCTATAGACTGTAAGCTCATTTGAGCAGGGTCCTCTTTAACCTATCGTTCCTGTACGTTTTTTGTAATCATTCTATTTATAGTTAAATCCCCCCTCTCATAATATTGTAAAGCGCTACGGAATCTGTTGGCGCTATATAAATGGCAATAATAATAATAATAATAAGCATCAGGCAGCAACTACCTGTTGGTTTAAATTCCAATTAGACATAACCCTTTGAATGTGACACTTCTATCTGGATGACACTAGTACATATGAGAGAGTAGCCAAAAACAAGGATCACATCAAGAATAAGATGGGAACCAAAAAGATCCCCAGATGTTGCTTAAATTGGCAAAGCATCATGGGAGTTGAAAAGCTAAAGTTGCAGAACTATCTGACAGTGAAGGAATTCTAAGAGTATGGAAGCCTATGTTTCAATCAGGAGGTTTCAGAGTGAATAAGATGCAGTGTGAAGGAATACACCAGAATTAGTCAATGTACTATTTACATACAGTCATTTTACACTATCCACCAGACAGCTAAACAGAAAGACAGACAGACAAATAGACCAACAGATGTAGACAGACACACAGACAGAGCTATCTACCTTTATAAATGCTTTCATAAAATTATCTGCAACAAATGACTAATCAATGAGTTGTCAAACAGTTTAACAAACAGATAAGGAACATCTGTAACTCCATCAAGTGGGTGATATTTTTCCGGTTTAACAATCGTGGCCTAGATTTCTGAAGTTTGATCTGAAACCCCCCTGAAATTGTTTAATAAATAGTATGGGGACAGGTGTTTATTTTAATGAAGTGGAATAAGTGGTCTGCATGTGCAAAAACACACTGGACCAGTGTAATAATATACTATGGCTCTGATATCGCAAATCAGCTGACAGAACCAATGTGTAAAAATACACAAAACACGAGCGTGAACACACACACACAAGCACACATATTTATGCATGTATATATGTGTACACTATAAAAAACATTTCCTGTAAAAGACAAGCATAGAAATTACTGAGGTTTATTAACTAAACAGTAAAGTGACGTAATATAAAATCAAATCTGCAAAAGTAGCACCAAATTAGCTACTTTGAACAAAACAAAAATTCGAATTTTTGACCCACATTTTGGTTTAAATCCCACCACAGTTCTCTGTATCATAAATACACCCTATGTGTCCTTAAAATAGGAGCAACAATTGCCAAATTGACAGAATTCAGGATATTGCTAAATATAACCAACATAACTACATATAGATGTCATATGCATACACAGATACTGTTTATATATTTACTGACAGATAAACCAGACGGATTTGCTTGACTTAACAATGTCAAAAATTTATGTCAAATAATTTTACATGAGTCTTACACAATCAATACAATTTTTTGAACCCCACATACAAAACTAAACCACTTGTCAAAAGAAAGTGAACTCCTTCACATTAAAAAAAATGTATCAATCTCTGCTTTGGTGTGTTAACTGCAAAGTGCTTTATTTGTTTTGACTTAAAACACTTTGTATTTTGTAGCCTTTCAAAACGTTTTGTTGAGATGTTTCCTGTTGTTTACACAACTTGAAAACTAGCAAGGAAGGAACCATATTACAAAACGTATAAAAAGAAATGTTGACAGTATATACAGCTCCAGAATACTTTGTATCACAGAATCGACCAGTCAGACTTACCTGCATTCACAGATCCTTACTACCAATTAAGTCATGGCTTGCACAGCCTTCCTTAAAAACTGCAAAATCCTGTCACCTCTGTGCTGTGAAATCCCAGAAAACAAGTCAGTTCAAGTCTTACTTGTAAGTAGTACCTGATCAACAACAGAGGAATTGCAATTTGAGAACTTTGAGTGATGTCATCAGCAGTGTGTCTTAAGATAATTCCCAGCCCATACAGGGCAATGAACCAACTCTCAACACCCAGTCTGTGCACACCTGGCTGCAAGGAAATTGGTTGTATTTATAAAGAATGTGGCTGAACTTTGGAAACTGTCCTGGAAAGTCATTTCTTTTTTTTTTAACTGTCTTTCTTTTATTCCAGTGTTTTGAATATTAAGACAAATGTGTCTGAGACTGTGCGGAAAGTTAATCAATACCTAATTCGAGATAACTTGTGTTTCTCACAGTCAGAGAAGCCCTGCATTCCTGTACTCAGTATGACACTGTAACCCACACTGTTAAACCATTTCTGCTGTCCTGTAACTGTGGACTATAAATCCAATAACACTCAGCCAGCGCCCACCTTAGCTGCTTTGAAATTCAGCTCAAATTATTCTGCCTGAGCTTTGTGGGCATTTTTATTATTATTATTTTATTATTTATATAGCGCCACCAGATTCTGTAGCGCTGTACAATGGGCGTTATGGTGCTGTACAGAGCTACACCTATCCCTGAGCTGTCTGCAATGCCAACAAGCACAATTCATGTAGCATTTAAAGTGTCTTTACCTATTATCTTATAGAAAGTGACACAATTGGGAGGCAGAATGTTGTTTACCTGGACCCAGAGTTAAAGGGGCTGTTTTTATTATGTTTATGTTAGTGATTGCATCCATTGTAAACATATGTGTTTGTTCTTTTGGTGTGAAACTTCAGAAAGCAGCAGTGATTTCGGTTAATACTAGATACAGATAGGAATCTGAAGTACAGTAAACATTTAACATATTTTCACCCAACCCATTCTTTGCAACAATTCCAAAAGCTTTAGATGTGAAATATCTTTAAACGAGAAAAATAAACTACTTTTAAATCCTTATTTAAATTTGTCCTTGCTATGGAATATGTGGCTTTTTGTTTTCTGTTTTTAAAAATAAAATTAAAAAATCAACGTGTATATGTAGAATTTTGCTTTCTTTATCGATTAAAAAGGTATTTTACAAAACAGACAATATTTGATAATTAACAGGAGAATGTTTACAGTTCCTCCATTTTGGTCTGAAGTTGGTAATGCCCTTGTCCGTTTCTCACGATCCGCTATTTGGTGAATAAAGCCATACATTTTGACATTTCCTTTCACTTGAAAAAATTGGTTCAGGTTAGCTCAAGACAGCTGCTTGAGATCTGGGGATCTTCCTCCCACAGATGAGTGTTGGGAAAGAAGAAATGTAAACAAACCAAAATTGGACCAATCCTGAGTCTCCTTGATTCCGATTTGCTAACGAGAACTCCTTGACTGCTGGCTTCTCAGCCAATCAGCACCAAGAATGGTATCAGAAAAATAAAATAAAAGAAGACATACTGACAGCTAAATACAAAACATATCAATAAATAAACTAACAAACAAACAAACAAATAAAATAAAAAGAACTGGGGACTCCAGGACGTCTGTTAATCAAGGACACCGAAATGGTTGTGACACAAGCCACCCGCATCCTCCCATTTTCATCCTTAATGTTCAGTGGGTGGTAGGTTAATTTAAGGAGCAGGTATGTGGGCACTGAGAAAGATAGGACTGGTAAACTATCAACCAGCAGGCCTTTATGTATCCTTCCCTCTAATGATCAATTATAAGGACTGCAAAATCAGTGCCAGGGAAATGAGAGGCCCCTCTACTCATGGAATAATCAACAAAATCATCAACACAAAAATTGATAAACAAATTAAAAATAGTATTTACTAGATATACCCATAATTTAATTATGCATTTTTTTAAATATACAGGGAGTGCAGAATTATTAGGCAAGTTGTATTTTTGAGGATTAATTTTATTATTGAACAACAACCATGTTCCCAATGAACCCAAAAAACTCATTAATATCAAAGCTGAATATTTTTGGAAGTAGTTTTTAGTTTGTTTTTAGTTATAGCTATGTTAGGGGGATATCTGTGTGTGCAGGTGACTATTACTGTGCATAATTATTAGGCAACTTAACAAAAACAAATATATACCCATTTCAATTATTTATTATTACCAGTGAAACCAATATAACATCTCAACATTCACAAATATACATTTCTGACATTCAAAAACAAAACAAAAACAAATCAGTGACCAATATAGCCACCTTTCTTTGCAAGGACACTCAAAAGCCTGCCATCCATGGATTCTGTCAGTGTTTTGATCTGTTCACCATCAACATTGCGTGCAGCAGCAACCACAGCCTCCCAGACACTGTTCAGAGAGGTGTACTGTTTTCCCTCCTTGTAAATCTCACATTTGATGATGGACCACAGGTTCTCAATGGGGTTCAGATCAGGTGAACAAGGAGGCCATGTCATTAGATTTTCTTCTTTTATACCCTTTCTTGCCAGCCACGCTGTGGAGTACTTGGACGCGTGTGATGGAGCATTGTCCTGCATGAAAATCATGTTTCTTGAAGGATGCAGACTTCTTCCTGTACCACTGCTTGAAGAAGGTGTCTTCCAGGAACTGGCAGTAGGACTGGGAGTTGAGCTTGACTCCATCCTCAACCCGAAAAGGCCCCACAAGCTCATCTTTGATGATACCAGCCCAAACCAGTACTCCACCTCCACCTTGCTGGCGTCTGAGTCGGACTGGAGCTCTCTGCCCTTTACCAATCCAGCCACGGGCCCATCCATCTGGCCCATCAAAACTCACTCTCATTTCATCAGTCCATAAAACCTTAGAAAAATCAGTCTTGAGATATTTCTTGGCCCAGTCTTGACGTTTCAGCTTGTGTGTCTTGTTCAGTGGTGGTCGTCTTTCAGCCTTTCTTACCTTGGCCATGTCTCTGAGTATTGCACACCTTGTGCTTTTGGGCACTCAGTGATGTTGCAGCTCTGAAATATGGCCAAACTGGTGGCAAGTGGCATCGTGGCAGCTGCACGCTTGACTTTTCTCAGTTCATGGGCAGTTATTTTGCGCCTTGGTTTTTCCACACGCTTCTTGCGACCCTGTTGACTATTTTGAATGAAACGCTTGATTGTTCGATGATCACGCTTCAGAAGCTTTGCAATTTTAAGAGTGCTGCATCCCTCTGCAAGATATCTCACTATTTTTGACTTTTCTGAGCCTGTCAAGTCCTTCTTTTGACCCATTTTGCCAAAGGAAAGGAAGTTGCCTAATAATTATGCACACCTGATATAGGGTGTTGATGTCATTAGACCACACCCCTTCTCATTACAGAGATGCACATCACCTAATATGCTTAATTGGTAGTAGGCTTTCGAGCCTATACAGCTTGGAGTAAGACAACATGCATAACGAGGATGATGTGGTCAAAATACTCATTTGCCTAATAATTCTGCACTCCCTGTAGTTTGCAAATGTTTTAGATCTCTTGTCTGCAGCCTTTGCATGCCCTCCCATTTTAACCCTGCCCAGACTTTCTGTGGCTGTCCAATCACAGACTGCTTAATGCAGTTCAATGAGAAGTCTTTGCAAGGCAGGTTTCCCGAGGCAAAATTGCTGCCTCTTGAGTTCAGTGCAAATAAGCTAACCAAACCAGGAAGTAGCCAGGCTGGTTGTCTGATTGACAGCCATGCAGGGTGTAACAAGGTTAATTTATAAATGTGCCAATTTCTATTGAAATCTGCACTTTTTGTAAAATGAAAAAAGAGGGCACACTCCTTATACATAAAGCACTTCAGGAAGCTAAAGTGCTTTAAACTGCATTAAGTGTATGGAGTGTCCCTTTAAGAACCAATGATGGTTAATGTTGACATAACTATCTGGTCCATAAAGATCTTACTCTCACACTTAACATCCTACTATATTAGGTTTAGCATGGCTCGATATCACTGCTAAAGGTATATACATAGTGCATTCGATGATGTCACGGTGTCTCTAGGAAACCGTTTGTGGTCTCTGTATAAATAGTTATTGCTACTTCAAGGGTTAAATTCTGCCTCTCGAATAAAAGACAAACTCAACACCAAAACTCGCGATTATTTGGTAAAGGAATGCCTTCGTGCTGTATCTGTTTGTGATAAGTCTATTTGAATAACCTTGTCGTGTGAATGTTAGTAACTTCACAGCCAAATTTCCACATGTATTCCTTCCCTACGGAACCATGATACGGCAACAATGTGATGGAGCAAAAAAAGAAAAGGACCTTTTAACAGGTAATCATGAAAAATAATTACAATGTAAATATATTATTATTATTATTATTATTATTATAATTAATATTATCATTTAATTATATTATTTCAGTGCCACAAAAAAAGGTTAACAATTTGACAGAGAAACATTCAGGTTTTTGAGAACAACGTCCACATAGGGGTCCATAAAGGGTGTGTCAGATGTTCCCAGTCTAATCCTAAAACAAAGACAAATTACCCCCGTTATCTGTGTGACCGGTTATCACTGCACAGAGCATTGCGCTGCTCTGGTAGTGGCCCTGCAGTTACCAATCCATGGGGTATTATTATTATTATTTAATTATTTATATAGCGCCAGCAAATTCTGTAGCGCTGTGCAATGGGTATAATATTTGTCAAACATGGCTGTGTTGCTCTGCTCCCTGGAAATAGACATTGCAGCTACTTCATTCAATATACACTAAAGCTGCAGACAGTCAGCGAAACAGTACATAGATCACTACACGTCTGTCTATTGCGTGTCTACGTGTTTTGATCTAGTGTAGGCTGTTTTGCTTATTGTATGCAATGATGCTTCTTCTGTCTATCCTATACCTAGCTGTAAACAGTCAGAGAAGCAGCAGGCGTGATGTTCAACATGTTTGTCTGATCCTTTTACTGAAGGCTGCTTGTCTCCCTACAGCTCAGCTCACTCAGTGCTGTCAGTTGCTTAGCTGTGTAAATACACACATTACCTATTTATCCTATGTTTCAAAAATACGAATGGCAATTAAATTTAAAAGGACACTATAGTCACCAAAACAACTTTAGTTTAATTAAGTAGTTTTGGTGTATAAATCATACCCCTGCAGTCTCACTGCTCAATGTTCTACCATTTTGGATGTAAATAACTTTGTTTGTCATCCCTGCATGTGACTTAAATATCCTTGCAAAGCACTTCCTGTAAAAAGTAATCTAATGTGTATCCTTCCTTTATTGCACATTATGTATAATTTAAAATGTCTTATCTCCTGCTCTGTTAATAGCTTGCTATACCCTGCAGGAGCCTTCTGTATGCAATTAAAGTAAGATTTACAGAGCAGGAGATAAAAACTTTAAAAGTAAGTTACTATCTGATTGAAAGTGAAGCTATTTTGTTTTCATGAATGCTGTGTCAGTCACAGCCAGGGGAGGTGTGGCTAGAGTTGCATATACAGAAACAAAAGGGATTTAACTCCTAAATGGCAGTGGATTGAGCAGTGAAACATCAGAAGCATGGTCTATACATCATAACAGTTTTTTGTGGGGTGACTATAGTGTCCTTTAAAAAAAAAAAAAAAAGATTAAACTAAACGTAGAAACTTAGAATGGTGAGTTCTAACCAATCTCACCAATGCTCACTATATAGATGTTCATATTCATTCAAAGAAATAAATAGAGCAGATGCATGCAAGCAATGGGGAACAATTTTCTTATTATTGAATCTGAAGGGGCAATATTTTTTAGCATGAATAAATATGCAAGGGTTATTTGTGCATGCATAAATGAAATATTTTTTTTCTCTTGACTATAAAACCTTTTTCTCTCCTTTTTCTTTCTTTTTTTTTTGTGAATATCATTTCTATTGGTTTACAAACATTTTCAGGATTTAACGCAGTGGGACGCACGGGTTCCCAAACCAAGCACCAGTATATGATTTTGCAGGACCTCTTCTAGCAAGTAATTGTAACATGAACTCAACTGGAAAAATAATGTTCAAGAATTATGTCTGAGTAAGAAAAAAATCAAATCAAATATTGCTGACAAACAATCAATTTAATACACTCTATAAATTAATCAATACTGTTGGAAAATTATTAATCTGCAAAAATTCCTATATTCCTTAATGGTGACATCTGTAGATAAATCACTGGGAAGTTTTTTTTTTTTTTTATCAGGATTGACTCATTTAGAAAGTTTACTAAATCAAGGCCGAAGTTAAATAAAGATACAGTGTTCATCTGTTGGCTCGATAGTTGAGATTGACACGGGCCTCGGGTGCTTTCCATCCCCCAGTGACCCACCTATCATACAAGTTGACAATTTCATAAGCTATCGGGCAAATCGAGAGTCTCCTGATTTTCTATTATCACTTTAATCTTAATAGAAATGCTGCAGGAGGCATGTATGTGCATACACTCCTGGTGTGTACGATTGCCTGTACAGCAATTTGCCATCAGAATGAATGGGGACTGCTCGTTACAGTCATAGGACTGTCATCAGGGCTTGCACTCACAGTATATACACAGTAATGCAGGATAACTCCCATTTACTTACATTCAAATGAAATGAAGCTTTCAAGACTGTGATACAATGTGTTTTATTTTCACTTTGTGGAAGATCAGGTATTGCTTGTTTGAGTCTTCAGACGTGGATTATAATGAAAAGAATGGAACACAATCAAGCTGTCTTTGTATATTTATAAAAACACGGTATCTTTGCAATTTGTTTTTATTATAATTACTTGAAGGCTTAAAGGACCACTATAGTGCCAGGAAAACATACTCGTTTTCCTGGCACTATAGTGCCCTGAGGGTGCCCCCACCCTGAGGGTCCCCCTCCCGCCGGGCTCTGGAGAGAGGAAGGGGTTAAAATCTTACCTTTCTCCAGCGCCGGGCGGGGAGCTCTCCTCCTCCTCTCCTCCTTCATAGCGACGTCATCGGCTGAATGCGCATGCGCAGCAGGAGCCGCGCCAGCATTCAGCCAGTTCATAGGAAAGCATTCACAATGCTTTCCTATGGACGCTGGCGTCTTCTCACTGTGAAAATCACAACGAGAAGCACGGAAGCGCCTCTAGCAGCTGTCAATGAGACAGCCACTAGAGGCTGGATTAACCCTATTATAAAAATAGCAGTTTCTCTGAAAATGCTATGTTTATAAAAAAAAAGTGTTAACCCTAGCTGGACCAGGCACCCAGACCACTTCATTAAGCTGAAGTGCTCTGGGTGCCTCTAGTGGTCCTTTAATGTTGAGATTGAATGAAAATGGCGCCGCCGCATACACAGTTCTCCACAAGTGCTCAACAAATGTCCAGTTAGCATAACGTAGACGTTCCTCCCAAGTTTTAGTTCAGCTCCCAGCTTTCTACTGAACATTGTACAACTTGTAATCATTCATAAACAGTATGAATGACCTGTTATGTTTAGACTTCATTAGACCTCGCCCAATCGTTCAAACACCCTCCTCATTCAGAAATTCCATTCTCATAATTTATTCCTAAACCCACCCGTCAGATAGAGTGTGAGGGACAAAGTGAGGTCTGGTGGCTTGGTTAAATTGTTCCATTACACTATCTCTTGGTTACTTCATTTAGCAATGGTTTTCCTCTGACCTGGGTCCCCACTGGACTCAGATGCTTTCTAGTTGTACAGTGAAGTGCTCCTGGCTTCTGCAGCCAACATTTGAGCCTCAGCTGACCTCTTTCAGTCAATGACATTCTCCTCCTCCGACTGCTTCATAGGGGTGCCATCAGAAGGTCCAGAACTATAGTTCAACACTTGGTGCTCAGGATGTCATTGACTGAGAGAGGTCAGTGTTGAACAGAATTGACATTAGCCAGCCAGGAACTCTAGTTCTGGACTTTCTGGTGGCACCCCATCAGAGGAGGAGTTACACAGTATTTCAAAGCAGATTTCTGCATGTACAGACTCCAGGTACCATGACCACTTAATTCACTGAATTCACTGAAGTAGCTTTGGTGCTTAAAGTAACTTTTAAATTCCACTCATCCATGCAACAAATAGATGCCTTTTGTGTGAGATTTTGCAACAACTTTTGGAATTAATCACTGGGCATACTTCATCATATTGCTCAAATGTATTTGAAATAACATTTCTGTTGAAATGGGAGAATTATATTGTTGACTAGTTAGATACTGGTTTCCAAACCAGTCCTCCAGGCACACCCGCCAGTCCAGGACTTGGGGATTAGCCAGTTGTGTAAGGCGTCTAAGGTGTTTTTAGAAAAAAGAAAAAAAAAACCTTGGCACAACCTGGTAGTTCCTAAATCCTGGACTGGTAGGTGTGCCTTGAGGACTGGTTTGGATACCAGTGAGTTAGAAGACTTCTAACACGAATCAAATGAGTACAGAGTATTACAAGTAAAATGAAATAACAGTAATTATATAAAAAGAAAGTCTTCAGAAAAAGAGTCAGTTAAATGGGAATGTAATTTCTTTGGTATTTACACTATTTGATAAAACATTGAAAATCATCTATAACTTATGTTAAAGGGACACATCACTGCTAAAATACAAAATAAATACACATTACTGTTTAGTAGATACACCCAAAATGACAGCATGCATGCTTTTATTTATGCATTTTTTTCATTGTCATTATATCTAAAAAAAACTCTTGCAAAATCTGCAATTCTATTGTCTGCAACTTTTGCAAGCCCTCCTATTCTAATCCCGCCCAGACTTTCTGTGGCTGTCCAATCACAGACTTCCCAATGCAGCTCAATGAGAATTCAGTGCAAGGCAGATGCTCTGAGCAATTGCTGCCTCTTGAGTTTAGCTCCACTGAGCTAAGCAAACCAGGAAGTAACAGGACCTATTGTCTGCTTAAGAGCCAGGGGGTGTAACCAGGTTAATTTATAAAAGTGTCAATTTCTATTGAAATCTGCACTTTTTGCTAAATGAATTCACACTATTTAGACATAAAGCCTTTCAGTAAGCTAAAAGTAGTTGAGGGGTCTGGAATGTCCCTTTTAGCCTTTTCATGATAGCATATAGTTGCCTATTAATGTTATATTTAAAAAGTAGCAAATTGCATCAGAGCTTAGAACAATGACTGACAGGGAGATAAGATGGTGACATCCAATTGCAGGATAAAGAGGTGTTACTTTCTACTTTTAATTAAAAAATTTTAAGCAAATGTAATATTAAAAATTCTTAAACTGACAATCCCACTTTATTTGTAAAGACTATCAGAGAACAGTGATAAACTGTACCTCCTTCTATAGCTATTTACATTTGCTCCACCTACTGTTCAGTAAGTCAAACACATGCTTTATTAAAGTTTATATATACTGAATTATTTTTTGAACTCAAGAAAAGTGACAATAAAGAAGTCTGATTTGTTTAAAATTAGGTCAATTCATGGGGCATTTTAATATTTCCTAGCCAGGTTAATCTGTTTCACATGCAACACATGCAATAAGATTTTTCATTGAAGTCCACTCAGCATTATGCAAAGATAAGGCACTGAATATCTTTCACACCTCATAAATATCACTATATTCATCATGATTTTATCTATGTTTTATAACACGCCGACAAAGTCCACAGAACGGTATAATAGACAAGGATTACAAACATGTTGACAGACAATGAAATATCAAATGACATATAACTTAATATACACATCGGAATAGAATATGAGGGTCCTCATCTTGTAAGTTTACTATCCATCGATCTTTGCAGGCGATTGGTATAATAAGACTTCATTAAAGAAAAAGGGGAGATTGTATTTGGAATTTTGCATTGACAAATGGAAATGTCTGTAGGTTGCAAAGTAACTGCAAGCAGTGGATTAGCAGGTCGGTCTGTTAGGACAATTTTTGAGTAATCTTTAGAGTAGACTGTTAGTATAGTAGACTATATTTGGTACTAGAAATTAAAGGACCTCTAAAGTCACCCAGACCATTTCATCTCAATTAAGTGGTATGGATGCAGTTGTTCTTTGTTTTAATACTGACAGCCACTAGAGGCGTTTCTGCAGCAAAAACTCGAACACATGATTCGGGAGCTCATAGGAAAGCAATTAATTTTGTATGAGGAGCACTGGCGTAGACCATTACAGAAGAAACCATGCCTGCTTGATGCCATTGCAGGTGGAGGAGAGATGAGCAGCACAGAGTAAGTCTTTGCACTGGAAAACAAAATGACTAAAATTATTTTTTCTTATTAATTTTATGATAAATGGGTATGAGGAAAGTACTAAAGTAGATAGGGACCATTTTGTTTTCCTAATGCTACATTGCTTCTTTTATGGGCCATAGATAGCTATAATGTTAAATTATATAATAATACAAATAATATTGGTGATATTTACAGGAAAATATTCTTTTATTTCAAAAACATGTTTGAAACATACCACAATCCACAATAACCTTTTTCACCACTAACCCAGAGGAACAAAGGTTTTGATAGCGCCTATTCAGATATTTCAATGGGTTGTATCAAGCCCAATATACATTATATTTAAAATATTTACCTGGTTCTGTATCTCAAAAAAGCAAAGTCTTTGTGCAAGGTACAGACTATGTGCATTTTTTATTTAGTAATCTTAGTGTCACCTTAGAGTCAAATATTTGGCTTAGTGTGCTAACAAGTAGAAGTTGAAGCCTAAATGATATTATTATTAATGGAACAATCCCTGATTAGAGTCTTAATGATAACTATTGTTAATTTATGTATAAATATATTCTATTGTATTATACAGGGAGACGATATCATGTATTAGTCACTAGTTACTGTACGGAGGCTGCAGAAGTCTATCACTAAATAAATATGGAAAATGCTGGAGTCACATTTTCCTGTGTCCTTGAGATCTACCTTCATTTGCTGACACTGGTTCTTGGCTTTGGGTGAGTGGGTGTTTGTCACACTGTTTAGAATCAGAGAATAGATACATTGTCCAACTGTACCTGAGAAATGAAAGGTCATCAGATTTGCCTTTGACCAGGTGACACACATGGCTTTCGCCCACAGTTTACATTAAAAATGATATAGAATATTATGTTTCTTTTCTCTCAATGTGCAAATCGGGGATTTATGAGTACAGAGGCAGTGAACCCTGGATCATTCATGGCTCAGATATACAAACAGAGAAGTACAAACAGGCATCACCTACCTCAATATAGTTTCTTTCACAAGGATGGAAGACAGCAATACAACAGCGATATCCAAAGAATGGCCACCACTTTGTTCTTTGACAAACAATAGATTGCTTTTCTGAAGTTCTTTCTTGTTACCCTCCAGTTAGATTGTTAACATTCTTCTTTTAACAAAAATGTGCCTAACTGGTCAAATTATCAGTGCTCCCTCCCTTTCACATGCAAAATATATATTTTTTTCAGTGTTCTCAAATTGTTATTTAACATGCACGTGTGTCGAATTTCAAAGGCCTCATACGTGACTTGTTCATTTCTGCGTCAGTTAAAGTTTAACAAATCCAGCAATCTCAAGACTTTATGTTTAGCGGCGGAGTTTCCATCCCCTATAAAAATTTTCTGGCATATTAAATAGCAGGTGCATGGCTAAAGTTCATTATATTTAAAAAGGGAATTTTCATGTCTCTGGAAATTACCCATTCAATAAAACATTAGAAATCACCTTGTTTTAACATTTTCAATATGATTGTCCATTTTCTTTTAAAATGTATATTAAAGATTTATCAAGTGACATTTATTTATTTTGTGTATAAAATATTTTACCAGGAAAGATACATTGAGATTTCTCTCGTTTTCAAGTATGTCACAATCTAGTTCAGCCAAGGCACAGCCAGGGCACACGATTCAAATGGTCATCAAAACAGAAACATTGTTTGTGTTTCTCCCATTTCTCCTAGCTATGTTTCATAGCACGAAAAGGCAACATTTATGATGATTGACAGGGAGTCACAATGGGGGCTCCCATTTCTAGAATAAAGGTAAATAAAGCAGTGTATATTTCTACTTTTATTTTTCTCAGTCCTTACAAACATGTATTTGTTCAATAAAGGGGCTTAAGTAAATGTAATATTGAATTCATGGGAAGAGTCAGTTCCCCTTTTTTACTCTGGCCTATATCAGTGTATCCTGTGTATATCTTATAGGATGATATATTAATGGTTATAAACATTTAAACCTACCTTAACCAGAAGGTGGATAGCTTCCAAATTATACAACATATACACCGGAAATCAGACAAATATGTGTAACCCTCCAAGCAGCAATCTCCAACAACTGTGAATTACAATCTAACACTCCAAATTCAGTGATGCTCTAGATTAGATACTTAACAATATTGAACCATACATCAGAGCAGTATCTGTAAAAAAAAAAAATAACAAATATATATTCCATAGCATCTGATATATCTATGAAAGAGGTCACACAGAAACACATATGTGAAATAAACTCACATTTCCCAGAGCCCTATCAACCCTGGGTGTGGGTAAGGAGAGCTACTTGGAGAGGGAATAAATACCACTGATGGATAATCAAAGGTGGTAATGCAGTCTTCTGGAGTGCAAACACTGTATAGGGAACACAAGCAGGCACATGAACACCCAATGTTGCAGTATAAAATAGTTTTTATTCACACACAGATTAAAATATGCTTACTTGCATCCAAAATGTTATTTTTGGCTACAAACCAGTAAACAGCCAATTACTCGTTTTGATTCCTGGCTCCGCTCTTCTGTGACATCATTCATTGAAGTTCTGCATATGCTGTAGATCTGCAATTATCAGGATGTTTTGGAGTGGCTAACTGTCATGTGGTCTGTAGTCTACAACAGGTACATATACAACAGGCGGCAAAATCTTTTCAAAGCCGGAGGAAGAAATCACAGACTAGACTTCAGGGCCTTTTTAAAATGTTGATGATATAATAACACTGTCAATAACCAATGAAAATGATATTGTACAATAGATGATTAATTTCAATTTGGTAGTAAAACTCATTGGAGAGATGGAACGCTATGTCAGGGTAGTTTGGTTGGGTTAGAATGGGGAGAATGTGTGTGCTCAATGGGATAGAAGATCTAAATGTGGATTTATAGATTTAGGGGGACAGGAAGACAGAATTCTGTTCAACATGCAACTTGACAGTCAGCACGCAAGGGTGACAAATCATCACTCATGGATAATACATCGTCATCATCTTCTTGTACATCCGGATCACTGTTCACAAAAAATTAACAACTCGGTGTTAGTTGGGTATAATTTCATGGTGACAGTAATGCACTTGTAAGAAAATGTGTTGCAAAATTCTACCTAAAGTTGGACATACCCCCTAGTTGCTTTTCAAGTTTCCTTCTTGATTTCAAAAAATTCATTATTGTGTATAATAAAGGTCTTTGGTTGGTATTATTTTCTTATAATAGTTGTACAATCATAACTGTCTGACGGAACTCTTCCATTGACTTCAACGTCATTCTTTAACACTGTCTTAATTGAAAATTGTTAATGTGCATTGAAATCCATAATGCAGCTCTTGAGTCAGACAGCTTGGGAAAAATCCAAGTCGAAATGGATCGAAGAAGAGCAATCCATAAACCTGGTGGATTTACCTTTTTTAAAGGACCACTATAGTGCCAGGAAAACATACTCGTTTTCCTGGTCAAATAGTGGCACCCTCAGGGACCCCCTCCCGCCCGGCTCTGGAAAGGGGTTAAAACTTACCTTTTTCCAGCGCTGGGCGGGGAGCTCTCCTCCTCCGATCCTCCTCTTCTCCGCCCCGTCGGCTGAATGCGCACGCGCGGCATTCATAATGCTTTCCTATGGACGCTTGCGTGCTCTCACTGTGATTTTCACAGTGAGAAGCACGCAAGCGCCTCTAGCGGCTGTCAATGAGACAGCCGCTAGAGGAAATAGGGGAAGGCTTAACCCATTCATAAACATAGCAGTTTCTCTGAAACTGCTATGTTTATGAAAAAATGGGTTAACCATAGCTGGACCTGGCACCCAGACCACTTCATTAAGCTGAAGTGGTCTGGGTGCCTAGAGTGGTCCTTTAAGGTTGTAAAATATTTATATAATGTCTTAGTTTTTTACAATAAATCATTAGGTGAAGATCTAACCATATCTAAGCTATACGTTAACATGGGTTCCCCACAGATCTAGCGAGAATTCAGCTTAAGCGGCTGGATGGTGGAGTGAGACAATTCATTGATCAGTACAATGTAAGTCTTGCTGGCACCTAGCGATGATCTCAATGTCTTTTTTTTCCCCAAACAATCAAATTTAGAATCTCAAAAACCTCATTCTATTCTATTTTAGAAATATGTAAAAAGTATTATGCAATAGCTCATCTGATGTTTACCTCGTTTATACAAGTGCAATACATGTTGTGATAAACATTTCTTATTGGTACTGTTTGCATTTGCCAAGATGAACACAGGAAATCCCCACATTTTTTCCAGGATACGTTAGAACTTTCTCTTGCTATATTTTCTGGAATCTTTTTTCAGGTGATCTTTCACATTAAAAAATCTAATAAACTTACCCTGATCAAGGTGCCCTTATTTGCCAATCATATTTTTTGTTTTTTAAAGGACCAATGAAGTGGTCTGGGTGCCAGGTCCCCCAGGTTTTAACCCTGCACTTGCAGCTGTAAACATAGCAGTTTCAGGGTTAATCCAGCCTCTAGAGCAGGCTTCCCCAAACTCCAGCCCTCCAGATGTTGCTGAACTACAACTCCCATGATTCTATGAATGAAATAGATAGGCATTGAGCACACAGAACGTCCATAGGAGAGCGGTGAG